CTCGCCATCACTGTTGTCATTTTAGTGTTGAGGGATCTTGTATGCCGAAGACAATTTTAGCTCAAATAGCTAACCATTTTGTACGATTTACAAGAAAATTTGCGAACCTGGATACTTATAAGATATATACAGCAACTTTTCGACATAGTAAAGCGGGACAATTCCTCGAAAACATCCGTTTTCTCAACTAAATATCGGCTTTGCTCATGTGCATATTATGCCCCTATTTTCTTTGCCTACGTCTTTGATTGCATTTTTTGAGGAGTATAGCATCTGATTGACAAGTGAGCTGCACTAGTTTTATTGGCTCGGTTGAACAGCTCCCAAAATCCATTGCCAAACTAAGTACTTGATATCCAAGCTGTTCCTCTTTAGCTATTTAACAGCACAAATTTAGTATTTTTCATGATTCTCGTAGATACTTGCGAAGAAAATGCAACGGATTAGTGGCTCAAGAGACCTTTTCTCTGTGTTCGTGCTTCGAGAACTGGTTTTTTGTGAGGTCAAACTCATTCGGTTTTGTGAATAATATTAGGTCGTTTCAAAAGTAATTTCGCTTTTTTCAAACGGGCACCACATTTGATGGAACAAAGGTTTCTGAGAGATCCTGGAAGCATTCGATGCAGAATTTCATTCTCTTTCTAATGGTTATGAAATTGTTGCAAAACAGTCAATGAGCTTTCAGAAAATAACCAAAGTCTGCGACCCATGCTTTTTGAGATAGTCTAGTTTCACAATTTTTTAAAACTTTAATATCAATCCTCAGAAGAAGTTCAAGTAACTGTTCGATAGAGCAAACCATATAGAATGCAAAACTACTTTTTTATCCTTTCCATAGCTTGTCATATATTTTTGACCGAATTTTAACTGATGCTACCGATTTTCATACTTGGGCAGCTAAATCCTCGTAGAACATCAAAGTAAGAGCAGCTCGGCCACTATTCGACGCAGCATCTTCTCCTCTTTCTAAAAGGTGGTTTTTATTTCCGATTCGTTTAGTTTTCGGGGATAAAATCATCACAACTCATTTTTTCAAGGAGTCTCATGCTGTACCTGAAAATCACGAAATTTGATATTTCGAACCCGTAAACCCTCACTTGCTTTGCAAAGTTAGTGCTAACTCATAGTACAGTCTTGGTAATCTCAAATTCCGAAAAATTATGATGTTTCTGCGATTGTGGCTGAGGTGGGCCTGCCAAAATCCGATGGCTCTGTTAAAAAATCTTTTAAAAAATTACGGCGAGTTACGAGAAAGAGAAAAAAGTAGCACTGTATTCTATGAGGTTCACTCTATCGAATCTTTACTTGAACTTCTTCTGAGGATTGATATGAAAGTTTTAAAAAATTGTGAAACTTGACCATCTTAAAAACATGGGTCGCAAATTTTGGTTATTTTCTGAAAGCTCATTGATTGTTTTGCAACATTTTCATAACCATTAGAAAGAGAATGAAATTCTGCATCGAATGCTTCCAAGATCTCTTAGAAACCTTTGTTCCATCAAATGTGGCGCTCGTTTGAAAAAAACGAAATTACTTTTGAAACGACCTAATATATCCGAAGAATGGATGAAAATCTTTCTTCTTTGCATGAAAAGTTATGAGAATATGACATGCTCTTAGCTGTACAGAACTCAAATCTACAAACGTCTTTCGCGAAAGAAAAACGACATCAATGGCTTCAGGATTCTTGTCTGGGATGGTCCATTCAAAAATCTTGCCCGTAGCTAGTTTTGATAAGCGATCCATCAATATCATACGAATTTACAATTTCATTTCTTGAAGTTTCGATAGTTATTCGGACAGCAAATTTTATGGCTAAAATAAAAACTGCGTAAGGGTCCGGTAGTAAGTATGATACCTACTTACCCAAGGGTAGGAAACAAAGGCGCACTTAGTTTATAACTTGCGAAGAAAATTCTCTGATAATTTTTTTCATGCATAGCGTCATTATTCGAAATCGCATCACATATGACCATGTTGTGACAGCTAGTGAATCTTCACCATACAGCATCTTTATCACCTCTCTACATCGTGTCAGTTGCTTTTTATAATCGTTAGACATCATAGCGATCTTTGATTTGCAGGCAAATTGATCTATATTCGATTGCCCGAAAAAATCTTCTTCACAGACAAACTGCTATTGCTAATTTTCTTCCATAATTTTGTTTTGCCGAGTTATGATATCATCAAACTTAGTTTTTGGGCCTATTTATATGAGTTCCGTTGATCTGTTCAAGTTATTTGTTTTATTTTACTTGCAATCGTATCCGACCTTTTATCACTTTTAGTTGTAAAATGATAACTTGAACGTTTTTGGTGATCAGAACTATGATGCTTCTGTTTTTTGTCATGGTTCCCGTTCTGCACTGTCTTATCGCTCGCATAATCTAGCGCTTTGTCGCATCCTCACCTCGCGATGTTCAAAACAAAACTTATCTTTCGCATTGGCCATCTGTTCGCACATGCTCTTTCGAAATTGAAGAAGATGGCTTGGTTTCTACTAAAATGTTCAGTCTTCTAAATCCAGCTGCTCACGTAGTCTTTGCGAGTGGATCGCTTTCTGAGTCTAAAATTCACATTTATTTATTTATTTATACATCCAATGATGCGCCTAACGAACGTATAAGGCCAGATAATAAGTGTATTTGTACAGTATTATGAGTGAGGTTGTGAAGACCCTAAGAGTGAGAATGTGCGCGAAGAAAGCAAGATTTCTCGAATTTGCTTGCTTTCAACATTGGAGTATTCTACTTCCTAATTTCATTCCCTTTCCTTTATTTTGGATGTGCACATTGCTAAAAATAAGATGTCACAGAAAGTGAATCGATTGTTTGAAGGTTCATCTCTCCAGTGAAATTCGTTGTAAATGGTGAAGCTTTGGCGCTGTTTGCTATTGTTACTCTAATAATTTAACTTTCTTATCCTCCAAATAACGGAGGCGCTCCAATCTACCCGCAAGGTTTTTACAGATACTATAATGTCCTATAAGACTTCTGTAATGGTTTTATTGAAATTCATAATGGGCATTGCACCAGCAATTTTCTGATAAACTTTAACCCATCAACTTTCTTAGAAACAGCAACGGCACGCAAACAACTTATGTTCAACATTTTGGAAAACCCGAAAACTGATTACGAAGCTTTTGAGAAATTTCTAGTTATAATCATTTTCTTTTCATTGGCTTGGAACGAAAGTTCTCTCGCAGCATATTCGAAAATTCATAGATTCTTGATTTTTTAAGGATTTGCGCTTTCACTTTTATTGGGAAAAAGAAAACATACTGTTTACTGCATTTAGCCTACTTCCTACACCCTCATGTTGCGAAGATGGAAACCATGGAAGAAAATTAAAGCTGCATTATGTTCTTATTACTCAAATTTTGATTACCCTGTTCGATCATAGAAATCTGGAACTTGCACTAAAAATCGGTGCTATGTGTGTGTCAGTATTATAGCTTTCTTAACCTGTTTCTTCTAACGAACAAAGTTTGTGCTGATTGTACGTCTCCGCAAAAGTTTTGATCTTTACAGAGAGCAGAACAAAATGCAACTTTAATTATTTTGGCATTTTCTTGAATTTCATAACTTCGACACTCAGCACAGATATTGCTCCGTCAAGAGTAGCACGTCAAGGAAGCTATACTGATCTGATTTCCAATATAAGGTGAAGATTTTTGATAACCAAACACACAAAAAGCAAAACTTGACTGATTTTCTTCTACGACTTCTAACTAAGAATATCTGAGCATCAGAAAGCCTGAAACATGCAGTTATAAACAGCATGATTTCTTCTATCAACTTATTGCATGCAGATCCGTTGAGAAAACAAAAAGCTATAATTCTTTGAAAGTAATGCGAGAGAACATTCATTCCAACTCAACATTTGACTTTATCAAAAATTAATATGGGTTTTCGAAGATACGAAGTGCCGAGTGTGTGGTGGGAAAAGCTTGGATTGGTTTTTGTAAAAAGGGCAGGGAGAAAGCTGCAAGTTACTCTAAAATGAAGCCAGTCTTTCCATACGGTAAAGGTTTTGTATACGGTAAAGAGTGGCAGGGTCTTCTGACCCTGCTACTCTTTACCGTATACATATCAGTTCTTTGTGATTTTCCTTCTTTTTGTGATTAACTGTCGATCCTCAGCCGCTTATAATTTTTCAAATCCATTTATTCTTCCATAAAATCAATAAAAAGGCCGCACGGAGGTGCGGTGAGGAGCTATTCCAACGGTGCCTACTTCTTTTGAATATCAACGAATGAATACCAAACGATTTGTCGATGCTCGCAAGTCGATTGTTATCGAATATCGTTTGCTTACTAATATTTCATTCGCTTTTATTGTAAATACCTCAGCAGCTTTGACAGATCTTCAACACACCTTTGCGACAGTTTCATTATAAAGAGAGTCGGCTAGTCATTGATTCATATATCATTCACAATTTACGTCCTCTATTTTCCTTTTTTTTACGTGCATGGGCCTCAAATTTGGGCTAAGTATGAATGAACTGCTTTAGCATCTTTGAAAGACATGTATCAAGGTTTACCGAGTGACATGACGTCATCTCTATATGCCCTCTTTTATCATAGATATTCTGAAACCACACAAGACAGCTTTTATTCAACTTTTTATTTTTGTTTTTTTTTGGCAATTCAGTTCGTTATCCAGGGCGCATTTTCATTACGCAATTTTTGACCTTTTCTTTCACTTAGAATTATCTCTTCTTTCCAGGCTCCACTGTCATCTTTACTAACAGCGATTCGTAGGGCTAGCATTTGCGATCGCGCAATGGCGCCGTCAGCTCCCGAGTTCGAGAGTACCCCAGATCCCGCTTGCACCCAACTTCTAACCCTGTAGGTTCAGTATACACCTATATATTGTCCAGATTCCATGATCATTCTCACATTTCAGCAAGTTTGGGAAGCCTTGATAAAATCTCAACCCCGGTCTTTGAAAGTATGCAAGCCTCACAGCCGAGTTTACCCGCCCGGGTTCCCTATTCTTATGCTTCTTCTCATCTCTCAGAATGGAATGCCTGCTGACAGCAGTAGGAAATTTTGATCTTGTAAACCGGTATCCATGTAGAAGGAAAAGTTCCAAAATATCTATTGGTTTTAGTTGAGAAAACCTCGAAGCTGTACGTATACGACAAGAATAGAAGCTATTTTGAGCAATGTTTCCGAGAAGTAAGAGTACTTGGAAGAGGATTGTTTGGTGAAGTAGGTTTCGAATTCTCTACCCTAGCGTATTTTGCTTTCCTATTTATCTTTCTTCCAAAGTTTCATGGTCTTCATGTTTTTTACACTCAACCAGTTCGGCCGCTACTTTTCAGGTCCATATCCTATTGCGAATCTCAGAGATATAGACCTTGATGAGTAAAGGAGTGTTTTGTCTGTATTTCTATAATTTTTACTACGAACAGAGTGCGGAAGATAATGGTCCGCCAACATAACCATGACGAGAGGAGAAAAACATGCATCGAATGCATGTAAAAATGCTTTTAATTCATTATTATAAAAGTTTTGAGTTGCTTAAAAATGTACAAAACTTTCGGTATTAGTGCTAATGATAGTGGGTGTACGACGGGCTCTTCAATATTTCAAATGTACTAAAAGAAGAATGTACATACATTATTCATTTTCTGAAGTGCTTGTGCTTTTCCCGATGGCCAACGGCTCATATTATCAAAATCAGCAAACATATTTTGATGAATTTGATAACACCTTTTCAAAAATTACTGCGGTCTGATGACAAATTCCAGATTCTTCCACATGCCTGCAGATTTGTTCGTTCACAACTACGAGCTTATGTTTGGGAGCCCAACATGTCTCCAGCTACGCGCAGGTGATCGCGTGTGCTTCAAATATTCATAAGAACGCTATCGTAGGGTATTATGAAACGAAGGCATAAACACAGTTGGCTGCGTCATGGTAGGCTCACAATATTATACTCAAAAGTAAAAACCGTTCATTTTTTCATTTTCGTTACAGTTCGGATTCATTCACGAAAGTATACGACAGCTCATGCTTAGAAAATATGGAGAGGAATTTTGGATCAAAGTATTGTGAGTTTTCTTACTTCATAGAGCACACTCACTCGTTGCTATGATATTTCATAATTTTTATTTGCTCAAGTCTGCGATAGAAAATTGCGATTCCCAAAAATGTTTCACTTTTCTACTGCCCATTTGAAAATATTTAACCTTCTGAAAATCAAACTGAATTGAAATTAGAACAACAAATTAGAAACGTTTGAAGCTATAGTACATAACTTTGACTTGAAAAAATTTGTGTAGTACCTTTTATTTCACTTTCTAAGAGACCCTCCTATCCAGATTTTTCGAAGAAAGTTTCACACCAAAGCACCCATCTTTAAAGAAATGGGGCTTTGCCAAAATATTCGTATTACGAAATACAAAATCCTTGGTGCGCTTTTTTGCGGACATAGTTCTCAATGTCCATTCTGTCGACTCTTCTGCGCTAAAACGATCTCCAGAAATGTTAGGAGTCTTGAAGAAATGCCAAAGTTCTGTAAAAGGACAACTTATAATGTGTTTTACATGATGTGTTTTTACATGTTTTAGATGCTTGTGGTTGTCTTTGAGATGTATAAAGGCAGACAAGAAAAGAAATTCAACATACTTTGAATTAGCTAGTACTAATGAGACACTGCTATAATTAAAATTGAAGTTCTCTGTTGCAGAAAAAACCAGCTTAAATTCCAGGCAGAGAGCAGGATTTGAAAGTGGAAAGGAGAACATAGTCAATCACTACTACTCTGACTCCGACACCTATGTCCTTGTGGATGCTGTCAGCGTGATAGCAAGTAAGTGTAGCAATCCGTGAACAAGTGGAAAAGCTGACTTCTTTTCAGAAATGACAAGAGAACAAGTTTGGGAAATGTACGGCGGATTCTTGATTGAGTATACTATGGAAATTGGATGGGACGACCTGATTCGCTCTATGAGCCCTAACTTGAAGGTACCTAGCAACTAAATCTCTGATAATTGATGGTTTTTCTAGTTAGCTATTAGAAAATGTTTACTCAATAAACCGAGTAATGACTACCTTCAGTATGGTCAGCATTTTAAATTTAGTTATTACCTCAAAATATTCGGATAAAACTTCTTACCATAAATCGCAGAAATTGCGGATTGTTTGATATGTGGCACCGATGCCTAGGAAGTGAATTTCGGATCTAACGCAGCTGAGACACAATTAGATATAACTTAGGGTAGGTATGTGTCAATTCAGTGAGGTTCCCTCAATTAGACAGAGGGTATAGCAAGCGATTTGCCCATGAAAGCTGAGTTGAATGCATCTTTAGTTACCAGATTCATCCTAAAGATAATGGCCAATTCATGCAACGCGAGATTTGTCATTTACGGGGTCGCAAATGTTTTTCATTCACAGGTATAAACTCTATAGAGGGGGCCATAGTGCATACGCGCCTTACTCTACTCGAGTAAGGCCCGTATGCACTAACATCCCTGAGCGGCGTCCTCAGTGATGAAAAAGCCGCAGCGGCGACCGCGCGCGGTCCCTTGATAACACGGGACGGACTTTCCTTGCCGCAGGGATGTTAGTGCATATGGGCCTAAGCAACAATTTATTTAGGGGTTCCTCGACAACCTAGACTCGCTCCATTACTTCATTGATCATGTCGTCTACAAAGCAAATCTACGAGGGCCATCTTTTCGATGTGAAGACAATTCAGATGGAACCATTACCCTGCACTACTATACCGGACGGCCGGGACTCTACCCAATTGTGAAGGGTTTGTTGAGTAAACAATATTGATTTTGGATCTGTTACTATGAACTTCAGGGGTGTTGCGTGAAGCAGCTAAGCGTGTATTCAAGCTCGACATTGCTTTAACGATCACTGGTCGCACACAAAGGAGTGTGCAAATGGCCACTGGAGAAAGAATCGAAGAGCATGTTATATTTTTGATCAAGGTGAGAAAGCAATTAGGGGCATGGTCCACAAACCGATTCTCTGCACATCAAGCTCGATCTTCCCAACACTATTGGAGAATCTTACTCCTCCTTTGTTTCAGCACTGACATGTAAGAGATGCAAACAAACAAAGAGACACTGACATGTAGATGCAAACATACCCCTGTCTTACAAAATTTGTAAAAAAGCAAGTAAAGTCAGCCACGCTTCCGAAAGAAATCTCTTTTGGAATGCACCGCTTCGCCAGTGGTAGACCCTCTTTTATGAGTTCACAAAATTTTCCTTTTTAAAATTTCAACAAAGGCTTTCCAAAATTTATTTTAAAGCAAAATCTTGAAGATTTCTGATTTTCCAAATTTTCAAAGTTCAGATTGACATAATGCATTTATATTTATACTACTCCCGGCTCGCGCAAAAAAAAATTCGCATAGGCTTAGGTTCATGCTTTCATTGGTTGCGCAAATCAGTCCTCCATTTCTAGACTGCAAACACCCAAGAAGATGGGGCAGAGCTGGGAAATGCGAGGCAGCTCCCGCAGCAAGGAAACGACTTCAAAATCCGTCTGACTAACGAAGACTTTATTTCGACATTCCCCTACCACTTCGTGGTCGATCAGGATTGCAAACTTGTACAAGTGGGAAGGGCACTTTAGTGAGTGTAATGCTTTTTGTTAGCTTCAAGCTCAGAATTTCCCCTCTAGCAATCATGTCCCTCGAGATCTTCTACTTCCTGGCACACCGCTGATTCGTGTGTTCGAGGTTACTCGTCCACAGATTCCATTGGATTTCGACTCGATCTGCAATTTCATCAACGCTGTCTTTGTATTGCAAGTGAAGACGACTCCTATGGAATTTCAGAAAAGTGTGACTAAAAGGAACAGCCAAGTATTGGATGAGTACGTTTTGTAGACTCAACAAAATGACTTTAGGGAAGAGGGATGATGGTGAATCTAGAGCAAGTTGATTTTTGCTTTAAAAACACTTCTCTCGTTGTATGGCAAGTCTGAAACAACGGCATACCAAATTGAATCAGAAATTTTGCTGTAAATTCTTGTACCAGCTCTCATTCATCTGCAAAAATTACCAAATGCTGTACCAGTTTTGCGGTTGAGGCCCCCACCTTTCATTGAAGTCGGGTTTTCCTGAGCCCCGAAACGGCAAGGAAAACGAAAATCAAATCTGGCTAACTGTAATTTTTTCTGAAAATAATCCACTGTTTAGCCTTTTTTGGGCAACTGCTCTCGGGTCCAATCCAACTTCACCAGCTCCTCTTGACTTGAGGTGCGAATGATGATGTGTCACATTCATAACCGTTATGTATACTAGAGCCAATCACCTCTGAACATGAAAGTAGCATATGCTCTTAATCACTAACTTTCACCGACTAGCACTTGCAGGAATTTCTGGATAAAAATGTGTCAGTGATAGCATTTTGTTACTGTAGCACTCAGGTTTTGAAGGCGCGAAGCACGCAGATCAGAGATTCGTTCCTGATTCTAAATTTCTATTTGCACTGTTCCGACCACCGTAAAAAATTTTGGGTTGAAAAAATACGATAAAATTTGATTTCACCACATCCGTGATGTATGCTTGCAGAAATGGAGTCGACGATAATAACAGCCTAGATCATATGACCCAAAGTCAACATCTCAAATTGAAGGGGCAGATGATGCTGATGGCAACAGGTGAGCAATGGCACTTATAGAACAACTAGCTGGCATACCCGGCTAAGCTCGCGTTACGTCTTTGAATTATTAATTTATCAACTTTTAAATAGCTTTACCCGCTATGATCTCTATGGCCTACACAAAACGTTTTGCTTGCAAATTTAGTGTTAATCCAAATTTGAAGTTAATAATTTTTGAAGGTAGCTCAAATCTACAGATATAATCAGAAGTAAAAGCTTAGCAGTATGATGGAATAAGGGTACAGATCGTATTGCGAAAATAAATACAATACAAAAATATAAGGCGCACCTGCCGTGCGAACATTAACGCGAAAGTTGCGCCCTGGGTTTGGGCTTGGGTTGAGCTGTACTTTAACAGTCTATCCTTATTATCTATACTTTACCTGGAGAATGCTAAATGGGTGCTTCAGAGTTAGGTGTCAGTGCTTTCAATTTTTGGAAAAGTTTGGCAAGAATTTGACCAAATGTAGGCAAAAACGAACTCAGTGACAGATTTATGAGTTCAAAATGATAATAGTACGGTGTTTAGTGAAAAAATATGATGAGTCTGCTTTGGGCAGCCACGAATGTAAAAAAGTAAAGCAGACTATTTTTCAAACAACTCATGTCACGAGAGATCTAACGGAGAACGAATGCACAAAACTGTCTCGAAAAGTTTGTACCGCTGCCCTTGCGGCGTCGCACATATCCCGCATCGTCGCGAAACTACTCGCGCGCGGTACTCAAAAATGCCCCTTATACTTCGGAAAATAGGCTAGTTCCATCTATTCTTGCTATTTTGAAACTTCTGTTAAAATTTTCTGTAAAGGTGTGTTTATTTTACTTAATAGGTTTGCTCGGCTACCACGAATATACTTGTAAGCATAGTGGGATGGGAGTGATTAGCATATCACTCACAATTAGAACGTTTTCATTGCTTCATTCTCTAATCGGTTGCTTTCTATCTATTTCCAATGCCTCATCACAGAATATTCAAAACGCCTCCATTTTCTGCTCTGCGAAGTGGACTGTGACAAAAGTGAGGGTATCCTGATATTTTCCTTATATCGCTACTACAGTCAAAATCCCTCAATATTTCCACGCATACGACAAGGAACGTTTCTCTAATCATATAATCGAACATAATTTGTGGATGGCCGTCACTGAAGCTGTTGTTTTTGAGGCCATAGCTTAGATTCGCAACAGCAAATCGAATGCCTTTGACATCGGGGCTTATCAATGTCTCTTGCACCAGCACCTCCGCTTCCGCTCAGGGCCTGCACTTTTTCTGCGAACATGCTCTCTAGTCATTTGCAATTAAATGAGGCTCCGCTTTTCCTATGCGCGGTGGGAGAGTGATCAGAGACCATGTTCGCGAAAGAGGCGCAGAGTCCAGGCGAGGCGGCCGCGCGGAAGCGGAGAGCTGGTGTGCCCGACGCTGCACTTGCTAAGAATTGTACATACTGAAATAGAAGACATTGAAAATTGGCGCTCATAAGGTTACGGAAGGATGCTACACACCTCAACGCAAGCGCATACTTCATTTATGAACGTATAAGAAAACCTATTTGAAGTAAGCTTCTCACTGCGTTTTGAATGCAAAAAACTCAGGATGAAAGTTGCCGCTAATCTTCACTCTCACTTGAACAAAGAGTTGATAGACCCTTCATTTCCTAGATCTACGTAAACAAATTAAATCGATAGAAAGACCCAGCGACAAGTTGCGAAAAGTAGCCTATCTTTTGCCCCGTGTCTCATTTATAAGGGAACAAAATTCAGCCTTTTCGGTTCACATAAAAGGAGTCTGTAAGCCACAAACATTCTAACAAACAAAGGTGCAGTATTTAAGTTTTATATATATATTTATCATTGTAGATAGGTTCGAAGGCAAAGGCATTGAGTACGTGCCAAAGGGTGAAAGAGAAACATTAAGGCGGTATCTACATATTGCTTTCTCTTCAGATTGCTTATTCACCGAAAACATGCTCCTGATTAGGTACGGCTCCCTCCTGGTCAGGTGCACTTTTTTCGTGAATAAGCGTCCGATCATATGTCGGAAGATTTGTGTAGTCGATTCGTTGATTGCACGGATTGGACATTAATGCGGAGCACGCGCTGCGAGGTAAAATGCTTGCCCCAGTACAAATCACCATTGCACAAGTCGTGCTCTTGCGGCATTTCAGCCGCACCGTGCGTGGTCCGCAACGTTTAAGCAGTCCATGCGGTCAGGAATCGACGATACGTGCCTGTTCAAATGAAACAACTACACATAACAACTGTTATCAAGGTCGTCATTTGATGTACCTTTGCTCCCCCTACGTCACTTCTATTCCCGAGCTGCTACAGTATGGGCTGCGGCTCACAGCAATGCCTCTTCACGATGCCACAAGGGATCTCATTCTTCTAAATCAGCAGCGTTTGAGCGATGTTGAGATGAAGTAAGCTCCTTCGATTGAAAGTTCACACAATGTTATGACACTTAGGAGAATTTTTCGCTCTTTCTGCGAAAGAATTTGATTGATCACCTTCCTTTTCCAGTCTTCAGCTAGAAGCTAACAACGAGCAGCTGGAATCCATGGCTAAGGATTTAGAAGTGGAAAAGGCTAAAACTGATGCACTTCTCAGCGAAATGTTACCATCTTCAGTAGCTCATCAGCTGAAAGCTGGACAGACTGTTGATGCCCGTGAGTTCTATCCCACAAATAAAATCTACAAGATTGATTTGAATAATTTAGGTGATTACGAATCAGCCACCGTAATGTTTTCTGATGTTCCGTCGTTTCAACAAATTGTACCGTTATGTCAGCCAAAAGATGTTGTGTATCTTTTGAACAATTTATTCACCCGCTTTGATCGTTTAGTCGTTCTTCAAAAGGTATTCGAGACAACAATTGTAAGATCTGATTTCAATTTGTCCCTTTTAGGTTTACAAGGTGGAGACAGTGGGTGATAGCTACATGTGCGTTGGCGGTATTCCTGACTTAGTGGATGATCATTGCGAGATCATTTGCCACCTGGCGCTTGGTGAATCAGACCGCAGGCATACTTCAAGCGATTTGTGTCGCGACGCGATCCGGCAATCTGTCAGATGCCTTCAAATACAACACTTGCAAACTACAGATTATATTGGGTGCAATTTCGTAGTTCCTTACTTTCGGAGAATGACCTATCGTCTGTAAATTCAGAATGAGCTTACAATGAGTAGAAAGTAAGTGGAATACTGCCAAACTGCGTCGCGATTGAACACGCGTGAAGTATGGCTGGGGCTTAGAAAATTCCAATTTTAATAGGTCGATTTGGTGTGAAATATAAGGCAAACATCGCGCAATATCATCCAAGAAATACAGAGTGTCCCAAAAAATGTGCACACTGTTTGATTGTTAATAACTCTCTTGCTTTCATGTGTTTTGCCTAGCTTGAGATACCGTTCTGTAGAGCGAGGATTAACTTAGATCTACGGTATGGAAAGACTTACCAGCCGCCTTTCATTACTGTAGGGTTACGGTAGGAATTTCGAGGAGGATTTTAAGCAATGGAAAGCGGTATATTGCCTCAGAAAGGAAGCCAAACAAGCCGGAAACCCTTGAACTGGGTTAATCGTAGTCGCTGATTCTAAATATGAAAACTGCACGTCAGTACACTGTTTCTTTCATGAGTTATTTCAGATTTAGGGTAACAACTGATTTTCCAGTGTTCAGTAGAAATGTGAATACGCCATCAAGAAAGCTCGAAAAACTGATGGAAAGTTATGTAGTGAAATCAGAACGCCTGAAAACCTTGCTACTTAATTTTTTAGATTTTCTTGAATTTATTTCATCAAAAGGCTTATTCCACATTGATGCTGTATGCTGAAAGTTCATACCGTAATCCTACAGTAGCAAGAAGAGATTGGAGTTTTGCTTGATACTGTAAATCTAAGTTTATGCTCGCTCGACAGAATGGTACCTCAAGTTCGGCAAAAGACTTGAAAGCAAGAGAGTTATTAACGATCAAACAGAGTGCACATCTTTTTGGGACACTCTGTATATAGATATGCAAACAATGTACAGGGTGTCCCAAAATTATGTATACACTGTTTGATCGTAAATAACTCTCTTGTCATGAAGTCTTTAGAAGCTTGAGGCACCATTCTGTAGAGTGAGGTTCAACTTAGACTTACAGTATAGAGCGAATCATCAATCGCTCTCCATTACTGTAGGATTACGGTATGAACTTTCAGCATACAGCGCCACAGTGGAAATAAGCTTTTGATGAAAAAAATTGCAAAAAATCTGGAATTTCGTGTAGCGACGTTTTTGGGCGTGCCGAATTCACTACACAACTTTCTACCAGTTTTTCGAACTTTCTTAATGGTATAATTGCACTTCTGACGAACATCGGAAAGACAGATTTTACCCTAAACCTAAAATAATTTGTAAAAGGAGCATTACAATGGAGTGCAAACGTCATTTTTAAAATCAGCGACTTCGATTAGTCCAGTGCAAGAGTTTTTAGCTTTTCTGCTTGGTTTTTCTCTGAGACAAACATCGCTTTCAATTTCCAAAAATCCTTCGCAAAATTCCTATCGTAATCCTACCGTAATGAAGAGCGATTGATGATTCGCTCCATACTGGTCTAAGTTCAACCTCGTCTACAAAATGATGCCTAGAGCTTTTCGAAAGGCTTCATGGCAAGAGAGTTATTTACGATCAAACAGTGTATATACTTTTGGGACACCCTGTATAAACTAGATTTATTGGCATCAGATCTGAATTAGATGCAATTCAAATCTACATTTACAAGAAATTTACAAAACTTTTTTGTGCAAGATTAATTCATCTTACAAACTGTTGGTAGTACGCTTCCACTTCTCAAGAAGAAGTTTTTGAAGTAATTATTGATTTGACTGAAAAAATTGCATCTGTTTCAGGCATGCTGATGGAGGCCCAAAATGTAACTGATCCGATCTCCGGCAAGCCTCTTCACATAAGGGCCGGTATCCACACGGGTCCAGTTGTAGCCGGAGTTGTTGGAGCAAAAATGCCAAGGTAATTCCGGAAAATGCAAAAATGCCTATGTAATTTAGTCAGGAATGGAAAAGCTGAATAGTCCTCTATTTCATCAATCCTGATTTTTCTACAGATTCTATCTAGATTTTTTTGCAATTTTCAAGCAATGTTACGTAATAAGATTCTTGGAGCCACCACAATCCTATCATTTTTCTGTTTTTTCTTACTTCTGACATTATTTTTCGAAGAAGACAATACTCTATCCTAGATACTGTCTCTTCGGTGACACGGTAAATACTGCTTCACGAATGGAAAGCCACAGCCCTGTCGGACGCATACACTGCAGCGAAGCCGCTGTCCAGTATGTTTGATTCAGTGAGACATATCGAGAGTTCGTGTTACAATGCGGAACGACAAATTTGTAACTCTTAGGAGTACTATATAAAAGCTCAGGAATTACCCCTTAAAAAAACATTTACCTCTTTCTAATATATAGGCTCATCGAAGCTGACTTCAATATCCCATTGCAGGAGCGCACAGCAAACCGGCAGGTTCGAATTTGAATCGCGTGGCAAGGTGCAAATCAAGGGTAAAGGAGAAATGACCACTTATTTCCTGTTGAGGAGTTTTAAGCGCTCCATCTGGGAAGTGATGGACAAGAAAAGAGGTGAGGACCATGCATCCGTGTGGATAAAAAGCATACGAGCTGGGAGAGATGTCCGATGCAATTATTCTTAAAAACATCAAAGTGTGCTCATAGCTTATATAGCTTAACTTATAGTTAGCTCTGTGAAGCTGGGAGGGGGGGGAGGGTTAATGATTAGATGATGTGCGCTTTAACAAACTCCCAACTTTGGCTTTGACAGACTTGGTAAGACTTGCTGAAGACTCGGATTGATCTATTAACTTGGTCCATACTTCTTGCCACAAAATTCCTAAAATACTGAAACTTTTGTTTGCGTTCTTTTCTTTATCAACTGAGAGAGTTTGCGCCGAACTAATTTATCTACCAATGGTTACGATTTAGTCTTTTAGTCTATATCACGAAACTGTTCCTTATGAACTCCAAATTCGTGGTAAAGTATTTTGTTGTATGTCAAGAAGATACACAATCTTAATTGAGATATTTTTTATTGTTGAAGCAGATTGTTTAAGATTACCGATCAACAAATTATAAACCCGGTTCCAATTTTTGTTAACATTTTTCATAAGGGTAATCGAATAAGCGGATTAATGAAAGCCTACATAAAAGCTTATGATATTGCATTTAGATGAGAACGTGAACAGCATCGATGGATACCAAGAGCTGAGAAGAGCTTTCGTTGATGAAACGTTGGTGAAGCGCAACTACAAAAGTTCCGCTACATGCGTCATTTCTTGATCGGTGGTTTCTACCTCACTGAAGAGTTTTTCGTATTTTGATTGTATGATTTCTTCATTATTTTGATTGTTGTTAGTCTGAACTATGGTAACTATAAAGCAAGAAAGCAGAGTCTACCGCAAGTTATAAGTGAATTGCCATGTCACTTCATGAATAGAAAGAAATGTTCACCTCGGGAACACTTTGTATTGCAAAAGTAGCAACTAGAAACAGTCTTGAACTGCGAAATGAAGCTTGTAAAAAATCGGGCTCCGTCAATTAGCTGTGACATGTCCTGGCACTACAATATCAAAAGTTGTGATACAAACATGAATACGGGCATGTCAAACAATTTCATTAAATTCAACTCTGAAATTTCGTAAGTCTATAGAATCATCGCTATAATAGGACGATATCTCGGATACTCAACGTTCAAGTACATGTCAAAATTCAAAAACTGCGCAAGTGCTCGTGTGACGCGTTGAACTTTCGCAATGGGGTTGTGTGTCTTGAAATTCAAATGCGGCGATTTGCGGGAGAAATCGCGACGTGATCAATGGGGACGTTGAGTCATCGCCCTTGACTCGCTACCGCATCTTGTTTGGGAAACACCCGGTCTTTCGACTGTGCTCACATGCTAGCAGGTCCTTTTTGAATTTTTCCTACAGATCTCTCGGAACAGCTTTGTTGCCACTTTCAAAATACTATCATATTTTTGTGATTTTTGTAGCATTAGTGAACCACATCACCTTTTGTTATTCTTTTCTTAAGCAAAATCTTGCATGCATCTCAGCAATTGTAGTGAAATTGTCATTATATTAGGCTGGCCTAGTTCGTTCGCATCAAATTTGAGGTATCGGAATAGTTGGTAACATATGTTTCATGAGTTACTCATCGAATGAATTGTGTTGACTGAGCTTTTTGTGAAAAGTTGTGATTTTCGAGCAAACAATCCAAATTTGCCATTTTGATTGGTAATTTTTTCGCCGATTATATTATTGTTTGATAGAAACGCTCAGTCAATACAAAATTCTCTCAGATAGAATGAGCACGTCTCAAAACTCGCAATAACCACAGCTCCGGCTTCCAGGCAAGTTTCAGGTTTTTGACAACCCTACACAGAAAAATCAAAATTCGAGTACCCTAGAATCTTACACATAAGTCCACTTTTTTGACCCAGAAAGTCCGCCCTTATATGTGGACCTTTCAGATAAGTTCGACTAATAGATAATTTTTTCCATAGCTACCCTAAAATATTGTCAGAAAGTCCGAAGATTGTCAGACGAACTTATATGCTGGGAGGCTCTATATGTTAAATTTTGGAGTAATTCTATTTTACAGTTTCTATCTTTGCAATGTGTGCTTGTTAGAAGTTTTTCAAATGCTTTTGTAAAGCGCCTGATTTCCTCTTCTAGAAAAATGAAATTAAAAAGTAAAAGGTTATGAATTTTTGAAAATCGTGCGAAAGACTTTCGTGCCGACCTAAATTATGTGATTTAGTGGGGGAGAAGAACGTGTCTGTCAGATACTCCATTTTATACCTTCGTGGGGTATCCCAGTAGGGTCTCTAGATCAGCATGTGATTGAGTGAGAAGATAGGGGGTACTGTTGAGAGGGGTTCAGATATAGAAAACAAAGTTGAGAAGCATTTGTGATGTGAATAGTCTCTTGTTCGGAAGCAGGGCGCCAATCTGCAATTTGTGTTTGCTTTTTCATGGGAACACCATCTTGAACAGCGCATCTTTCTGCAATCACTGTTGACATTTTAGTGTTGAGGCATTCTTTGAGTCCAAACGTCAACACTTACCTTAAATAGCTAAGCATTTTGTCTGGTCCAAGAAAATTTGCATGTTTTTGGATACGCATGAGACTTATGAAACAACTTTCAATGTAGGAAAGCAAGAAAATTTCTTGATAGCATCCGTTTTTCAAACATCAAGCTTTCAAGACTTCTGCAAATTATGCCTTATTTTCTTTGCTTGATAATTTTGTCATCAGACGAGCATAAGACTAGCGTTGCTATACATTCTGATGGTTTACTCCTCACATATCCTCACAAGCTTTTATGCAAAAACGAATATTCGACTATCACCTGTAGTCGAATAGTCTTACATAGCTATGCGGAAATTTTTGAATCATCTGCAAACATATCCATATCAAACAGGAGATGGGCATACTTGAGAACGACCCCAGTGGGTTCCTTGGGATTCTTGAGTAGCACGATGCAATCTAAAATCTTGCCAATTGTATGCTTTGAAGCTAAACAAGGCTAGCACACTGGTTGATTAATTTGATAACATTTGAATTCATGATTCAATCTCTGAGGTTTTGAAAGCTACTCATATGGCAAGTTTTATGGTTGACCGCTCGAACGAAGATTAGTTTTTAGGTTTTATCATGGTCAAGGTTGATCACCTTCATTGCGAACCGTTGGTTATGGCGGTGAAGTAATAGGGATAAAAATAAACTTGGTAATTTACTGGTGACAAATGGTGTATACGGAACGAGCAAATTAAAGGCACATCTATTCCCAGTTCATAAATCGCTGAAAAATTCCCCGATAATTTTCTCTGCATAGTCATTTAAGATTTGAAATTGTCTCGCATATCAAGTTTTGTCGGTTAGTAAACTTTACAGCACAATTTCCTTATTTTCACCTTACATCGAGTCAGTTCTTTTTATAATCGCTAGAGATCATAGCGATCTGTGATTTGCGGGCAATTTGACCTATTCGATTGCTCAAAAAAAATTGCAAACAGACGAACTGCCATCGTTAATTTTTTTCCGTAATTCTGTTCCGCTATCTGTTATATCATCAAACTTATTGTTAGTTTCTGGAGCTTTTCATGTGAGCCATCGTTGATCTGTTCAAGTTATTTGTTTTGTTTTACTTTCAAGTGTATAAGTGTATCTAACATCTCAACATGTTAAATTGTAAAATGATGATTTGGACGTTTTTGGTGATCAAAACTATGAAGCTTTTGTTCTTTGTTATGGTTCCCGTTCTGCACTGTCTTATCGCTCGCATAATCTAGCGCTTTGTCGCATCCTCACCCCGCGATGTTCAAAACAAAACTTATCTTTCGCAATGACCGTCTGTTCGCACATCTTCCTTTCAAACTGAGTAGAAGATGGCATTGTTTGTATTAAAATGCCTGGTCTTCTAAATCCAGCCGCTCAAGAAATCTGTACTACAGATATATTTCTATGCACTTTTTAATGAGGTCATTCCATGCACTCCTTATCTTCGTGGCGGTAATTTGAGTCATTCCTAGTTTCTGCATGTTTGTATCTCATGGACGGTAGTGGCGACGGTCCTGAGCAAGTGAGATTACCTTCATCGCAATCGTTCTTTTCTCTCGCTTGTTTTTGGGCGTCTAAAATTTACATGTGCAAGAAAGCAAGATTTCCATCTGTTACGAGCTTTTAATACCAAAAGAATTTCAATTTCTTTCCACCCCCGTTCCTCTTTGTATGTTTATGTGCGTTTTCACTAACAATGATACGTTCGCAGTACGGATCCATTGACTGAAGGATTTCTTCAGTGAAATTTATTGTACAAGGTTAACCGCGGACCTTTTGCGCTGTTCTGAAATTACGAGAGAATTTTTGATTTTCTCCCAAAATAAGTGTGAGAAGAGATAGAAGAAACTACATAAGGTACTGTTGGTGCTGCAGTTAAAATCTGCGAAATAACCTCGAGTCGCGTCGGAAGCGCCGCTTCAATGTAGCTCTCCCAAAGTCAGATTTCAAGAGAAAGGTATACATTCTAAAGAGTTCATTCTATTCTATTCTAAATGCACAAACCCTTTGCAAAAGCCGTGTCTTTTGCTTTAGCTTACGCTAAAGTTAGCGCCTACAATCTTGGATATTGCCAGCTCATAACTGATTACGCTGCAGCCATAACTGACTTAAGTTTGGTGTCACTTATATTTGGAGGTGCACAGGTTTCGAGGAAGATAAGGGCAGTTCTGGATAGATTACTATGAGCTCTTTCCTTAGATGCGTTCTTTTTGAAAATCTGACCAAGAAGAATTACACCGACGCTTCCGACGCGATATCGCGCTTATCTCGTGTATCTTAACTGCACCGATAGTACTGTACAGTACGTCTCAAAAAAGAGAAAAAGTTTCTACTGTTTGGTTATCAACAACTCTGTTGTTCATCGTCTTTCGTCATTATTAGGTACTTTCTATGGAGCTGGCTTTGACTTAGATCCACAGTATGGAGCAAATTACCTATCTAGATATATCACAGTATCATCACGGTAGGGGGTCTTGGGTTAACAAGTGCCGTTACCTTTAGAAGAGAACCAAATAAGCTGTAAATCCTTACATTGGGAGATTCGAAGTAAAGGCGGTTCATAGCACGCAAAGACTGCGGACATATCGACCTCTCCGTGATCAAGCGCTCTTTCCTTTCTCTTACCGTCTGCTGCCTCTTCTATGCACAAACTATCTTCGTTGGACGCAACTGCGCCCAGTCCTTGCGTGTTCATGAATCGACGATAGCTGACCTCATTTAGACTTGCACTTCACCGTAATGTTTCAGTGATGTGTCAAATATACCGTAGCAAACAATTTCCGATATTCATCGAAAATCTGATTACGCCATTCAATAAGCTCTGAAAACTCGTAAGCCGTGTAGTGAAAACAGCATGTGTGGAAATTTTGTTATACAACTTAAGAGAATTTTTCGGAAATATTTTTCTAAGCAGCCTATCTCACAATAGCGCCATATGCTGCGGGTGCCTTCCTACCATTCCCATATAGTAACAAACAGATAGCGGTGCTCCGCACCATACTTTGAATTTATGGTGCAGCAACCTTCACACAATGGTACCTCAAGAGTGACGAAAGATAATGCAGTAGAAGAATTACTGACGATCAGACATTAGGAACGTTTTTGTGACACCCTGTATATACGCTCAAGTCAGTAGACTTTTTCTAAGTGCATTTCTGGCTTCCAACCACTGTTTCGATCAGAGCCTAACACAAAGGTTTTGGAATTTTTTGGAGGTCTCTATAATGCGAGCTCTGAAAGTTCTACCCTATATTTTGTTAGGTTTCAGGAAAATTAGTGCTATTCTATATTGCAGCACGAAAGGGGGAGCGGCGAAGAGCGAGAGATAGGAATTGTAACAGAGTGCAAAGAAGAGCTTTATGTCGGTGCTCTAATCTTTGAATATCATCTCAATTAGCTGTACTACCTTCAACTGTCAACCAGCGGCGGAGCGAAGAATTGTAAAGACGCACTTTCAACGTTTCTATGATTTCCTTTTGATCCCAACATAGCTTTCTTTCCTTTAAGTTCTGCTTTAGACTCGATTAAACATCGCGCAGTGATGTGGCAGTGCAACGCTCCAATGTTTTCCATGAACGGAGGTCTTTTCTCGACTCTATCTAAAACTCCTTATTATCTTTAGAAATTGATTTTTTCCTCACAAAGTTTGTTTTTAGCGCTGTTAATTGGATACTTGTAGTCAACATATATAGCGGCATATTGACTTCGTAATGGAGGCAGCAAGGGCCATACGAAACACTAGAAAAAAATTGTAGCGAGGAGTTAGAGCCACCTAAACTTTTTCGTAATCGTCCATTTGCTAGAGTGAAGTTTACAGGTTTGTAGTAAAAACGCATGCTAAAGAGACTATCATGGATCACTGAAGCATTTGAGAAAGTTTCTTGTTACTGTCTTTTACACCTCCTCCGCTCCCTCCTAGAATGGAATCTTAGTTTGTACAGAACGCAGTAGTCGCTCTGCTTCAGAATTTTCGAAAAGATATCAAGTCTGAGTGACTCCACTTTCGGGGATCTTCTACAATCTTGGAAACGTTAAGCTTTCAAGACTAGTTTTCCAACAATGAACTTCATTTTTGTTGCCAATTTTCTGATCATGTTGTCCATTGCCTAGTTCCAAACCGATTTGCCGCTCAAAAATGTTACATTTTTTCAGGCTCCACTGTCGTCCTTACTAACGGCGATTCGCAGAACTAGCATTTGCGATTGCGCAATGGCGCCGTCAACTCCCGAATTGGAGAGTACCCCAGATCGCGCTTGCACGTCGCCAACTTCTAACCCTGTAGGTTCTAATATACACATACCTGCTCATCCAGATTCCGTGATCGTTCCCGCATTTCAGCAAGTTTGGGAAGCCTTGATAAAGTCTCAACCCCGGTCTTTGAAAGTATGCAAGCCTCACAGCCGAGTTTACCCGCCCGGATTTCCTATTCTTAGGCCTCGTCTCATCTCTCAGAATGGAACGCCTGCTGACAGCAGTAGGAAATTTTGATCTTGTGAACCTTTATTCATGTAGAAGGAAACGTTCCGAAATATCTATTGCTTTTAGTTGAGAAGATCTCGAAACTGTACGTATACGACAAAAATAGAAGCTATTTTGAGCAATGTTTCCGAGAAGTACGAGTACTTGGAAGAGGATTGTTTGGTGAAGTAGGTTTCAAATTTTCTACCCCAACGTGTTTTGCTATCATAATAGTCATTCTACAAGTTTCTTGGTCTTCACGTTTTTAACGATCAACCAGTTCGGACACTACTTTTCAGCATAAGTCGCAAATCTCAGATTTCTGCCTTGATAAGTAAAGGAGTGTTCTTTTTGAAATTCTTTGATTTTTACTACGAACAGAGTTATTGGCTCTGTCCTATCGTACTAGTATGACTGTGACTTTGTATGAGTGTCTGAATTTTTGCTGTATTATCGTTTTCTTCTGTTTGAGCAAAATTACATTACTTTTATTCCAATGGAAATGACATGCCCGGTAGAGTAAAGCGAGCTTGGAACATCCACATAAATCATAATGCACGCAAATGAAGCCAAAATATAGACATACAATTTTGCCAAATTAGCTTTCCTCCTCAAAATCTCTTCCACACAATCTCTATTCATTAAGCATTTTAATCGACTTATAAGACATTTATTTGAACTACTATGATACTGTAACTGCTAAAAATTGAGAAAAATGATGGGAAAGTGGCAGACTCCGCCCTTAGCGGTCTTGAACTCGTTCCCATCCACAGTTGTATAGCACCGTTCAGACGTACAATCACTCTCATGTCCACATCCTCTTAATGAACTAGTTCTTGAAAAAATTCAATATCTTTTCGAGTAGGAAAAAATGCGTTCAAATCAATGATACTTCCCAATTAGGAACTGTTTTCGATTTTTGGGATGATCTCTGAATATGTTGTACCATATGGTCATTTAGGCTTTGGAAGTTGAGTGCCTTGAGACGGGGAATCACTACGCAGTCAAGAGAGCGCTTCGAACGTTTGAGTCAGCTGGTTGTCGACAGCAAAAACTTCGAGAGGCCACCAATCACGGAGCGATTGCCCCTCATGTTAACATTGTGAAGTTTGAAAAAGCATGGGAAGAGAGGTGAGTATGACTGGAAATCTGGAAATCTTATATCCATTTCGGGCAATACAATCCACCTGGGTCATACGCTTTCTGTAAATTTTTTGTTAGTTCAGATAAAACTTTTTAGGCAAATAGCAGACTAACATTTAAGACCTTAGAACCCATCTGACTAAAAATGTTGCGCAAATTCAATATTCCAAAATATGCCTTGGTCCAAAATAGCTGTCATCAAAAAATCGACCCCTTGTCGTGAATGTGTCAAAAAATATATAGGGATCCATGGGGCTGAAGTTTTGCAGAGGCCGACTCTACATCCAAACGGAGCTCTGTGGAGCCAGTTTGGCAGATTACCGTAGCAAATTTGGAATCCTTAGAGAAGACGAGCTGTGGAGAGTTCTGCACGATATGGTGCAGGTGAGATTCAGCTGGTATCTAGCAAGGGCATTTTAGACTCTTTGGACTTTTAGGCACTTCGTCATATGCATGCGACCGGAATGCTCCACATGGATGTCAAGCCCTCCAACATATTCATTTCTGATGACTCCACCTGCAAGCTGGGAGATTTTGGACTTGCTTTTGACATGAACAAGGTGCTGTTTGGTTTTTGTGTAACAGTACAGACTGAGAACGCCTTGCATTTACGAATATATTAGGAAGAGGTCACATCATTCGGAGCTCCATACTCTGCTTGATTCACTATTACAAAATACCATTATACAGTCTTACTCCTTTACTTTTGAGCACATCAACTCGTTTAGAACTATTAATTTATCTTGCCTTCAGGAAAAACATATTCTTCATGTGATTGAATGGATCTGCGGTTTTTTGTTGTTACAATAATCTACATATCGTCATTCTCTAAGTTCAAACTACATCTCCACAGTCTTTTAAGAGCTTAATCATTTGCAATCTGATATGATGGCAATTTTATTGAAAAGCATGAGACTTCTGTCTTGAGCAAATTTATTCCCTAAGGAGAACGAATTTATCGTCTAGTATACAATCGAAAATGTTTTTTTTTGATACAGGGTGTCCCAAAAGTATGTATACACTGTTTGATCGTTAATATCTCTCTTCTCAAGTTCGCCTATCTCCGGGTACCATATTGTAGAGCTGGCTTCAACTAAGTTTTACAGTATAAAGCGAATCACCGATCGCTCTTTGGTACTGTAGAATTATGGTAGGAACTTTTGGCTTGAGCATCATTGTTGACCAGCCGTGTTTCAAAAAAATTTCCAAAAATTCTGAAAAATGGTGTACCAGTGATTTTACGTGCGCTGAATTCATTACTCAACTTTCTAGGAGTTTGTAAAGCTTTTCAAAGGGTGTGTCTGCAATTTCAGAGAGCATAGTAAAAACAGCTATTACGGTTTCCGGGGCATAAGTCATGAAGGAAGTATCGCGGTCAAATGCAAAATATTTGGTTTAGGCGACTTTAGTTAGCCTAGTGTAAGAGTTTACGAAATGTTTGGTTTACTTTCTAATGCGGAATAGGACCCTCAATGGCTCAAAATGATACCTGAAGGCAGGCAAAAGACCTCTAGGAAAGGGAGACATTAATGATCAAGTGTATACATATTTTTGGGACACACATATTGTCGTTTTAGATAATAGCTTAACACACTGAATAAATTTGGAAATTGCTGATAAATAAACTTAGCTTTCCAAATTTAACTGCGAATGCTAGTCGAAAATAAGTATTTTCACTTAAACTCACACTTTTGGATTCACTCGTGGTGTTCATTACCTAAAGTTTTGCAGCTTTTTTCAAACCAGAAAATCCTCAAACCAAAATTTCTAAAGAACATTCCTTCGGCAAACCCACTCCGTAGATAGCGACAGCAGACTGACAGTCAGCGAGCAGCTTAGTGTGGGTATATTTCAACACACGGTATTTGTTGCACGTGTTCTCACAATTAAATTATCATGGCTTTCAGAAGACTCCAAGCTCGATTAATGATAAGTCTTGGCATAACGTTAATATTCGTATATGTTTACTTGAGCCGATCACCAAGATTATAGCACGCTTTATTCAATCAGGCTAACGTTTTTTTTACGGTCAGTAGTCTACTGACTGTGCCGACGCTGTGTTTAGTGGTGGCTCGACCCCGATTCGAAGACAGCTGAGGCTCCGACGAAGGTGAAGGCACCGAAACGTTAGCCTGATTGAATAAAGCATGCTACAATCTTGGTGATCGGCTCAAGTAAACATATACGAATATCATGGCTTTATTCGTGAAAATTCAAAAGCTACTGTTGTGGGAACAAAGCCTTCATTACCTGGCTTTATTTGCTCAGATCCCAGCCATAAGGCCTTAGTAAATCTTTGGAATCAACGAACTCGAATATCCATTATTGTTCCGCATTGACTTCCCTCAGCAGGGAATGGTCAGAACTTAACCCATCTAATCTCGACAATCTATGTATATATCATTGGACTCATCTTGAAACGCTGATCATAAATATATGTTCACTATCTGCCAAGCGGTTATGAGCGTTTAAAGGCAGTGTCTCACCAAAATTTAGTTGCCGAGTTTTTTTGCATTTTGCAAGCCTGTCGGACCCTGTCTAGCACTGCATGGGCCTAAAATCGCAAGAAGTTCCCAAAAACCTCGTTTTCTAGAGGCCCCGCGGAAGCAACGTGGACGAGTTGTACCTTCCAACTTCAGCCTCAGCCACAGTGGCAGCAACAGAGGGGAGGTGGATGCCAAGTGGAGGGACATGTTCAAACGCGTAAGGGGGGAGACCGAAGGAGTCGTCCGCGCGTATCAACTCGCTCTCCGCGTACCTTTAAGCGAATTTTTCCCAGCGTGGAGGGGTCAAATTGAGTGGGACTTGTTGATGGCCTATTTACAGGTCCCTATAATAGAATATGCGAAAATCCGCGCGACCTCAACTTTGATGAGACACTGCCTTTAAATGTGCGACTTGTCCAGGGTTGTGTGGTGCATGTTCCACGAAATAAGTTTGAAAAACACTTATTTGGGTCTTTGGTGAATTTGCTTCTTCCTTGTATTTAAAGCTACAGCCATTGTAAGCCGCGCTTTCAAGCTGCCTTTCAAGAAAATATATTAGGTTTAACCGAAAGTTCGTTCGCACCATTTTTATAAAAAACCGTAACTTCCTTTTCTTGCAATAATCCTAAACGTCAAAACTAACATTAAGAAGAGCAAAGCGTATACTTTCTGATGACACCTTTCTTGCTCTTTGCTAAGCTTCGGTTGCGGAAATGAAATTGAGAAAAAGAAAGCACGTCAGTTTCGGAATTCTGAGGCAAGCCCGTTAAAAATTCCAAAACTAAGCCTTAAAACTCAACACATGCAGTAAATTAGATGTTTTTGATCCCTTCTTTTTACCTGAGCAAGATTCGCGCTGACCAAGCTCATTTTGACAAGTTATGATTTTCGAGGAGAAATGCCAGAAAACCAGTTTTTTAAGAAAATTGATTTCTTGCATTTCTTCTCATAAATCATAATTTTTCAAAGAAAGAACAGCATCAGCATTTGCTTTGGTAGAAAGAGAGGTCAAATGATTCAGGATACAGCCTGTTTTGGTTTATGGCACTGTTTTGGAATTTTCAACGGACTTGCCCGAAAATTTTGAAATTGAAATGATTTTCTTCTCCCAGTTTTATTTCCGTCACCAACGCTTAGTAAAGAGCAAGCAGGGTGTGTGTAATTAGAAAGTATACGCTTTGCTTTTTCTAAAGTATTTTTGTTATGCAGGATTATTGTAGGAGAAAGAAGTCACGATTTTAGCCTAATATTTGTCGAAATTCGAATAATGTCTTATGTTTGAATGCTCATAAGTCATTCCAGAATTCGCTTGGAAGAAAAAGACATATAGGTGGAATCAGCGCTTTAAGACCGAGTCCGATGATATAAAGCTTGTTTGGAACGGCTAGATTAACACGTTTCGGACCGGTGCTGCACATGGTGCAGCACCCTGCTTTGAAGGATCTTTTTGACGTTTACAGGAGGTTTTCTCTTAGCCCAAGGTTATCAAGTCAAAGGCTAAAGCTTCTACTTTCCAAGTGACTCTGAAGAGTTGTGCGCCGCTATTTGTTTAGGAGATATGAGCACAAATCGAACAACAGTTGCAACGAAGTGCGGCGACGCGAACGACGCGTGCGACGTCGCAACTTTTCTTTGCTTTGATTTCGAAGAGAAAAACCCTAGTTTCAATAATGATGTGTACCGTGTACAACATAGATACTTTTGAATACTATTAGAATCTGAGTTCTTGTTCCTATCTTTCAAGAAAGCACAAAAGTCCCTCTCAAGCGACAAAATTCAAACACTTCGAATTCACTCAGAACTTTGGATATGGAGCTTATCTGACATGCTGATTACAAATGTGGCCCACAGGCTGCGAAATAAGGTCCCTTTGTAGGCTAACGGCTGAAAGTACACTCTTTTTCGCCGCGCGCGATTTCGCGGTCCGAAACGTGTTAAGTTCTGATCATTTCTTTGTCAGTATTTCCCTCATTTTCTCCTAGATTTCCTTTTGTATAGTATTGCAAAGGACCATTTGCGTGAAGAACTCTGATTTGACGAAATTTTCAAGGTTTGAGCAATTTTCATCCCTCACTGCCTGCAAATCATAACCGGGGTCATAACGAATTTTTTGCGTGGGGCTGTTGGGTACTCTCGCCCTTTTTCAGAGAGGAAAACCTAGTTAACTTGAATTGTGATGATCTCCAGCCGTTGAATGCGTTAAATGTGACTTGTATCAGGGCACAAAATGATTTTTAGAGTTCTCTTTACTAAGAGTGTGCTATTGTTATCGGTGGTTTCACTATGGTTTTTCTGCCATACTAATCGTGCGATCGTTGTGTTCTTCTTGTACGAATTTTATGGTTTGTATGAAACCGGAAGTTTTTCAGTCCTGTCCTACTCCTTGAAATTGTAAGAAAAATATGCACTCGCTTATTTCAGACTTCTCGAGATACTGCTGAGGAAGGGGACAAATATTACATGGCTCCGGAAATTTTAAACGACTCGGCCACGCCGGCTGCTGATGTGTATAGTCTCGGCGTCACATTGTTGGAGGTAGTCCTTTGAATTTTCCAGTATTCTATTCATTCATGATTGCTTCTAGCTTGCCACTGATGTGGACCTTCATGAAGAGAGTCACCGAATTCGGAACGGAGAGTTGAACGATCTGCATTTTGGAGGTGAATATCGCAGATCAGTATGATGACATAGCATCTATTTATTTTCTTTTCCGCGATTATTTATTATTTATTGAATTAAATTATTTTCTTCTGTCATTTAGAGATTTCTGATGAGTTGCGACGCATGATCTTGTCATTGCTTTGCCCGGATCCAGCAAAACGGCCCACTGCAAGTCAACTTGCGAAAAATCCATTCATTGTGAGGAACACACGCATTGCTGTCATTTTCCGCCATTTAGATGTAAGTCTATATAACTCATTTCGAAAAAATCTCGCTAATGTCATAAAAATCTTGAGTTTTTATCTGTATCAAGAAATATATTGTTGACGAGTCTGGGTTCAAGCGATTTGAGCAATCTGATAGATCATTCAGAAAGTGGTCTATAAGCAGGGTCAAGCGTGGGGTGTGGCACGCCACACCTGGGGGGTCGTAAAGGGGTCAGGGAGGGGGGTCGTTATGGAAGTGATGGTGATGTTAGCGACATGGCGTCAGTCACAATGTCTGATAGGCCCATTGACAGGATACTAGCACTGCTGTATTGGCGTACCGTCGTACACGTACAGTAAGCATAATAAAATAATGCCAGAAGCATAAGAACATCATTTTCGTGATTATGTCATCAAATAACCCCTGTGGGCCAAGTTTCAGCGATTGAGGTTTCCAAATATTGACACACCCAAGTGAGGTGGTCATTTTCGAACATGCTAACTTTGTTTCAAAGGTGAGTGAACTACTTCTTTTTGCACTCATTACAAAGTACTGCTATTTCCTTGCTCACATCAGGAATCCCACTTCAACTAATCTCCAAACTCTGGAGTTAAGAGCAAGCCAAATCTTTGTCCCATTCTTCGCGCTCAATACTCAGACTAGAGAAGACCAGTCAGCTCATATTACTATCGTCAAAGTTACGAGAGTTAGGCTATCGAACATACTTGTCCTTGCCGCCTTCCCTCGCGATTCACGTAGTAGCACTTAGCACATTACCATAATCCAATATTTTCGCAGTGTCTTCTATTTGCATAGCTAAGGAAAAGACTATGTCTTGCCCTAGGAAAAACATTTTCGAATAAATTTCCTGCTATGTAGGGAAGATGGTCTAGCACTAGCGACCACTCAAACAAGATAGAGATTTGAATGCTTTTTAGGTAAGTTAATGGGGTGTGGCACAACCCCTAAAAAGCTGTGGCAGCCACAGCTTTTTAACTTACCTCCAAAAAGATTTTTAGCGAACACAATACTATAGGGCTTATCAAACGCAGTGTCGTTTGCACTAGCATCTCCACTCCTGCGCTGGACTCTGCGTCTCTTCAGCGAGCATGCTCTCCAGTCACTTCCATTTGATTGAGGCTCCGCCTTTCCCACGCTCGCCTTGGGAAAGATCAGAGAGCATGTTTATGGAAGAGGTGCAGAGTCCAGCGCGGGAGTAGAGATGCTGATGAAAGCGACACTGCGTTTGATAAGCCCTGTATAGTTTGATAGCCTGAGTCCTGTAGTTTCCATAGGAGTAATTTGGGCCTGATTCATTTTCTTCGTCTGAGTGAAAGTTGATGAAAGCATTAAAAGCGAAAGATGGGGCAAACGAGATTTTGGCCTGCTTCTAATTTCATAGTTTGATGATTATCTGAAGCAGGCATAGTGCGGGTAAACAGGGAGTAGTGCTTTGTACTGAGTAAAAAAGAGTTAGTTGATTCACTTCTGAAGTGTAGTTAATCATGTTCGAAAATGACCACGTCACTCAGGTGATCCATTATGAACCCTCAAATTTGCTAAAACTTGGCTCATGGGGTTATTTGTCATAATAATTTCCAATATTTAACTAATCATACATGGTAGAGCCTTTACGTCATGCCTATGGAAGGCAAACGATAATGCTGATGGGGTGGGGAAGGAGGAGGTATTGAGACAGAAGATAGGGTGGGGGTCTTATCCGGCGCTTGTGTGCCACACCTCTTGCTCGACCCTGTCTATAAGTTAACCACCACTGTCACTCAAGGATTTTACTAAATTGACTTGTTATTGATTCACACATTGTGTTCTTAGCATTTTATGCTTTTTGACTTCACTTTATTCAGAGTGTGGTGAGTTCACCATCGGGTCCCCTCGACAAAGATTGGGATTTCGAGTCTGAAGGTATCTGTTAGCTTCGCTTACCATTGCTCAGTTTCGGCTATAATCAGAATTCTTTGCAGATGAAATTCATCCTCCGTCAATTCGCTTCTCAAAACCAAGAAGGTTGCTCAGGAATTTGCTGAGGGATGATGTGTCCGACGCAGCAGATGATGTCAGGTATGAATTTTAAGTTCCTTTACGACTCTGTAGCCGCATTATGTTTCCGAACTTTCAAAAACTAGAGTTGGATTTTTGCAACAGGGCCCTTTATATCTAGAGCTTGTTATAGCTATAGTGAAAGGACTAGATTGTTTTTGCAATCGTATGTTCCAAGAAATCGCAACTTCTCTTGCATTTTGGTGTCATAGTCGAATCCTATCGTATCGCAGCTAGTCACTGTACACGAATGGGTAGCATTTCCAGGCTGTTTTCGAAGAAAAGTTTTGAAACAAAAATCATCAATATTTAAACGTTATCCTATGCGTAACTCATGTCCAAACGCCGACTTGGGCTTTCTGACTTTTTGAAACATAGGCGTTTTTCACATTTGGTGCAAAATTCTATGTATCACCCAACGATGAGCAGGCTTGCGAAATATGCACACAAAACCTCTCAGAAAAATTTTCCGGACATAGGATGACTAGTGCAAATGCCTACATTTGAACTCTTTCTTTAACCCTAAATCACTCTAAAGAGTAATCCTAATGTGCGTTATGGGGGTTATTCTCATTGAACTTTGTCTGAATTCTACTGTGAAAACGTTTTTGTTACATTCAAGTTGACATCTACCTGTTGAAGAAAATTCCCAATGACAAAACATTAACAAAGGCAGAAAGCTTAAGCTTTTGATGGAGCAAACTAACATGAGAAGAGACCAGAAACTTAGTCTTACGAAGGATCATGAGAAAAAATCGCATATGAAAGGTGCGATGTTGCAAAAAATGTTCACATTTTCCGTCTTCGATTCCCAGTTGATTCTCTAGTAACAATAAGTACAAGTGAAATAATTGCAGGATGAGCCTAAGTTTCCAAAGCTCAAGTGATGACGAATCGCCAAGCTGTCGCCCAGATAAACTAGGGTAAACATCCACAAGATTTCAACAAGCATTACAAATTTTTAAGTTGATTTTTTCTTTCAGGGACAGTCGACAACAGAAAGCTACTAAAAGAGAAAAAGTGCATTTCACTGTCAAAAAACTCGTCTTTTCTGATTCATCCGACGTTTCTCCTGGTCCTGTCCCAAAACGTCTTCGCGAAGAGTTTACTTGAACCTTTGCTTTATCACTTGCGTATCTCTAGTGTCATATATGATGAATCAATTACTTCAAGTTTGCAACATTTACGATGAAATGGCAAGGTGTTATTTTGTCTACTTAATGTATATAATGTATGTATTTATCTGCTACTGTGATCTTACAGTTATCATCCATCTGTGTAAAATAAATATTTCACATTTGAAGTAGTCTTTTATCCATGAGACAATCGTCTATGCGGCCAACTTTATCGGCAGCTCTGCGCCCGTCCAGGCAGCGTCTTTCGTTAGTCTAAGGCCTCGGGCATACCTCATGCGACTTTAGTCGCGACGCGATCTGGCAATACTTCAAATATTCATAACTCATCGTACGGGGTTTCTGAATGTACGGAAGATGGAGCATTTTATCCACCTGCGAAAATTATAATGCTGTGCATTTGGGGTCTGAATTATTGAATTTGAAGACATCTGGCAAATTGCCAGATCGCATGGCGACTGAAATCGCATGAGGTATGCCCCTTGCCTAATAAGCTCCATCGCAGCGGCTGTTGGACATAGCAGCAAATAAATTGAGAAGTCTTTGTTTGGTTGCCCTCCCTACCTTTCTCAACCCTTCAATCCTCCTTTTCCCTTTTTTTATCTCCCCGTATTCTCCCTCCTTCCCTTACCTGCCTCCACGCACTAGGCTCACTTCGATTAGAATCATCAAACTCCTGTTTTGTTCACGTTCTTGTGAATGATCTTAGCTGCTGAGAAGATTTGCTCTTTTATCCAAGACGCATGAGAGTAAGATAATGCATAAATATATGTATTATCTTCCTCTCACTATCAAAGATGTGCATTTTGTGCAGCAAGCTTGTCACAACTATAGTTTTGTTTGGCTTGTTCTACTTCTAAAATTCTTGATTTTGTCTTCAACAACAATTTATCACTGGCGGACACCAAAGGGAGGGGGTGGGCCAGAAAGGACCACAAAATTTACATGGATTATAAAAATAAGTGATTTGTTTATTCTTGTAAATAGCCAGAACAATTTTTGAAATTCCTTAAAAATTCAAACTAGACTTTTAAAGGTTTTTGGGGGCATGGCTGCCGCTACACCGTCTTTTTCTAGATCCTAGGGATCATGGGCCCGCAAAAATTTCAAGAAGCACCCCAAAAAAATTTTTTTGGTGCGTACGCCACATTTAGAAGAAATTTCGGCCGCCTCCCTCCCCTCGACGGAGAATTCCCTGACCGCCACCGCTATTCATCAATTGAACGAGGTTTGCACCCACAAAAATTGCGGAAGTTCGAGCAACAGTCCTATTGCAATTGAGAAATTCGAGAAAAAGTAATTAGATTAGTAAACGACACTGAACCCGGCAGGTAACAGAAAAAGAATGTTTGGTAAAGCCAACATGTTGCTGTATGTTCGTCCGCTTTACTTCCGCTCCGACCTTCATATCTGCATACATCGTACTCATCATGTGTGTTGCATTTATCTGTTCGTTGCCAACTCTTAGAAGACTTTTTATTAGCAATAAAACAGTGCATTTAATAATAAAATCGTCTTCTCCTTTTCAAATGTTCATGTATTTTTGCATACGGGATCCAACTCTTCTCGATGAAGGACGTAGCAAACAGTTGAGTCAAAAACATGTATCAACTTGCGCATTTGCGCACTCACAAGCCACGCACATGTGCTCACAGTCTACTGTACCATTTCCAGTGCGGAACAACATACAAGCGTCCATGGGCTGCAATGAAGTGTATTAGAGCTTTACTACATAATTTTAATTTTCCACCGACGAGAGTGGCCATTCAAGCTTTGATGATGACTCCAATAAGGTAAAATCGAACTAGGATGGAGATCACTGGAATATGCGTTCGAGCATTCTTTTTCTCAACTATGCGACCACCTAATCACGATGGATGCAGCTGTTGAACTTCTATTACTTTTGCAGTTTAGGCTTCAATTTAAAAAAATAGATACGAGATAAGTCCAATAATCTGTTCACAGATTCGCCTGAAATCAGATGTTACACTTTGAAAGTTCAACCTCAAATTTTATCAAGACATGCCAAGATTCATTGACGGTCGGACTTGGAATTTGAACCTCAAAGTTGTTCAAATGAAACGAATTTCTGAACTTTTTTGGGCGTCTTTTATTGAATACGGTCCTCACATTGCCACAAAAAGTAGCAGCAGCTATCCATGTCCAAAACGAATTTTAATTGATAAAATTCAATTTCCTGTTTTGCAAGGTTTTTCTAAGAGCTTGACTTCGTTACACATCTTTCGTCATGCACTTTTGTTTACGAGGAAATGGTCAGAACTTAGCCCAGCCATTCCAAACAAGTTGAATACCATTGGATTGTCTTAAATCGCTAATTTCAAACATATTTTTTATCTGTCAAGCGACTATCTGGGAGGAGTTATAAGCGTTCAAATATGAGAAATTCTTCGAATTTCGAAATATCATAACTTATAATAACGGGCTAAGGATGTTTACGTGTTTTTGTGTGTGTGTCTGTCTGTCTGTCACGAAATTCGTGGAACGGTTGCCAGCCAACATCTTAAGCCCAAATTCTGCACAGCGCATGCTACCAACGAGTCCACTATATCAAAGCTTGAGCGGATCCGTTTAGCGGATCCCTCAAAAAATGCGCGTCAATGGGACCCACCTGGCTTTTCGTCCCCAAAATTGGGTCTGTAATTCCACTTTTTGCAGGCTCGTGGATGTTTATGGCAAGTAAATGTGCAAACCATGAACTTAGGTCCAAAAAAGTGATCAAAAGTCCACTACTTTACAAAAACGGCGCCAAAAAGTATTGGTTGCGTAAATGGTCATTTTGCCAAGCTTTTACCAGAGCATTTGTTAAGATTTTTGCACCTAAATGTAGCTTATGGTGACTACTGTTCTTATGGCGACTGTCAAGACTGTGGAAAAATCAAAAACGTAAGATTTTGCTTTGTTCTCCTGCAAAAAAATTTCATCCACGCGAAATCACCGATTTCACATGAAAAAGCTTTCGGAATGAGTAGTTGTTTACATTTTGTTCATGATAGTAGGCATTGCTCGGTGAGTTTCACTGCCATCATTATGCGAGAATGAGTAGGGCCTAGATAGTAGAACCAGTGCGAGCCTCTGCGAAGCAGAGGTGACGCACTGGTCTTATATATAAAGCTGAATGTCTGTTTGTCTGTATGTATGTCTGTCTGTCTGTCTGTACGTATGTTCCGAATAGAAAATTCCATTTCTGAACCGATCCGGACCAAACTTGGCACACATACACTTCGGGCCCCGGCGGGTGTCATAGGCTACTTTTCGTCATCGATCGATATCGATTTTATCGATTTTTTGCAAAATTTGGGCTGCGGGGCTGGGAGTTGGCACAGGGGGGGGTAATCGAGCATGCTGATCACCCCCGTGGGGGTGATCAGCATGCTCGATTACACCCCTCTGCCAAATTCCAGCCCCTAGCTCAAATTTTGCAAAAAATCGATAAAATCGACATCGATCGATAACGAAAAGTGGACTGTGACACCCGCCGGGGCCCGAAGTGTATGTGTGCCAAGCTTGGTCCGGATCGGTTGAGAAATGGAATTTTTTATTCGGAACATACGGCGGAGCCGGGTAAGCCAGCTAGTATTTTCATAAAAGGCAGCATGGTGGCGCGGATTTACAGTGGCTATGGTTATTCAATTACAAGGCGAAGCACATTCACCAAAAAACCTAGGTATCGTCGAGTCATTTGTAATTGAATATGCGTAGTGCACACTACATACGCTAACTGACGAACAGCGGAACTAGAACCTGCCCATTTCCAGTGATTTCTCCCTGTTTCGTTGTTTCTTTTGTTTTAATTGGTTAGCCATGAGAACACATTTCTATATTTTGTTAGATTAGAAAATCTTCTACTGGGAAATTACTAGTGTAGTTTCCGTCGCTAATAGGGCTTAGTGCGCAGTCTCACGTATTATGCTACAAATGACTTGAGGTTAAGTGTTTTTGAAATTTATTTCGTGGAAGAGCCACAGAACACTTGGAAAATCGCACATTTCAACGCTCATTATTCCTCCCAGATAGGCGCTTGGCAGATAATGTACACATCTTTGTGATCAGCGTTTCAAGACGAGTCCGATGATATACAGCATGTTCGATATGGCTTGGTCAAGTTCTGATCATTCCCTGCTTAGCGGGTCATTGTCATTTGAATATCGTGTTACTAGTGCATTCTGCATATAGTACAATAAGGAAATCAAAGTAGACCATTTTAGGCGTTCGCTCCAATATTCTACAATTCTCTATTACTTCGCGAACTTTATATGGTAGAAAACTAAATGTCAATCAACTAGTATCAGCATTACACTAGTCAGGCACTATCATCCCAGAAATTTTGCAAAAATAACGACCATAGAAGTAGAACTGCCCACCGTGATTATCTGATTTCAAATCCCAACAGAAAAGGATTTCCAAGTAATGAATGCAGATACAACTCTGCAAAACCATTTTTAAGCGCTCTATTTCGTGCTCAAAATGCCGGGTAAGTTTTGTGCCTTTACTTTTTTCTTAAACTCTGCCTGGGAATGCTGTGGCAGCTTCCTGGTTTCGACTTACTACTCTGTTCCATAACGCAAAATCACTAAGTTTTTCGTACTCTCTTGTTGAAACCTCGGCATGATTCAGGTTGCGTCAGTAGTATTATGTAGCCAGCATGAGGTTTGGGTGAGATTATTTATCACATCAGTGGCCTAACGCGTTTCGACTACTCGTTGTCTTCGGAGGTCCAAAGTGGTGCGGGTTTAGTAATCTTATGTCTGCCCCACCAAATGCTTTATCAAATCTCGTTAGCTTCTCGATCCCCTTTCGAGTTTTTTTTAGCAAAAGTCGCAAAATGGGAGAAGACGAACACACGCTACATTACCGGTCACTTGATGGTATAAAGCGACCGCTTTCTTGGTGACAGTAGTGCCGATAAGCCGCGTTAAGCAGCTCATTGTAGATGTAATCATCGCACTACTCTATCATAGCTCACCAGCAGTGGCGTACTCAGGATTTCCGTTCGCGGGGGGGGGACGACAAAAATTTTTTTCCGATGAAGGTGAGTGGTGCTAACCACGCACTCTAAAAAAATTTTTGGGGTGCTTCTAAAAATTTTTGCGGGTTTCCAGCCCCTAAAATCTGGAAAAGGGGGCGTGGCGTCAGTCACGCCCCCGAAAAAAATTTTTTAAAGGCTAAAATGAATTTTTAAAATTCTAAAAACTATTTCAATTATCTAAAAGTGCAGACAAGTCATTTGCACAATTTTTTAACCCATGTAAGTAACCTTCAAAAATTTCGCGATCCGTTCTCGAGGAAGGGGGGGGGGGTACCCCCCCCCCTCGGCAGTGGCGTAACCAGGATTTCGGCTCGGGGGGGGGGGCGACAAAGAAATTATTCTGATGAAGGTGCGTGGCGTCAGCCGAAAGATTTTTTGGGATGTCTCCCAATCGCCTCCGAGAAAAATTTTTTTACAAGGCTAGTTTAAATTTTTAAAAATTATTTTAATTATTTACAAGTAAAAACAAGTCCTCTGCACATTTTTATAACACATTTAAGCAACTTTCAGAAATTTCGCGACCCATTCTCGGGGGGGGGGGGCCCTCGGTACGCCACTGCTCACCAGTGATAGAATGGCATGAAGTCAATGGTAACGGCTAAGCCCTCGTTTCTATTGTTGATAAGCGGTTTTCTGCGGGTGATCCAAAACGCTTCGAAAGCTCTCCGCGCAGACTGTCTTTCGTAAGCCGATATTGACCATTTAATTTCGTAGTTGTGATCGCGATGGTCATGTTCATGTTTCTCGAGCGAACTAAACTACCTTTTCGGCCAATAAACGATAATGATATAAGTTTATCAATCACAGTCGCTGGCTATACTTAGTGTTTGCAAAAGGCTTATACATAATATATGCCGCTTTCGTCAAGGGCGAATATTATGAAAGGCCGCAGTCTTCGTTATGCTTTAGAAGAATATTGGTTTTGCATCAACATCTTCCAGTAGTATTTAACCTTTAATTCAATTGGCTTGGCTTTGGGAAGGCTGGGCCGCGACGCACCTGCGTCTCTCTCGCGCGAGTACTCTCTGATCACTAGCTAGCCTTAATTAGGCTACAGAGCCCCGCCTTCCCGAAGCCAAGCCAGTTGAATCAAATATTATGTTTCAGGGTGTTATGCGAGTTGAGCTTATTCGCTCACCGACAAAGATGTCTATTAAAAGTTGAGTAGAGCGTCCCCACCTGAGTATTACAAAATACTCTTTGCACAAACATCAAGTTACAAATATTTACTTCTGACTTTGTACGTAACATAAGATTTTTAAGACCATCTCAAATTGTTACCATTCGACAACTAAAGCGCACAACACTTCCACAAATTTGTCAAAATGCGCTAGAAGTTCTAGGAAACCGAACGGTAGGATGTAAAAACAGGACTGGTATATTGTATACCGATATTAGAGTGGACCAAAATTTGTCGCACTATTCCGAATCGTGAATGGTTTGTGATAATGGTTTTGATTGTTGTCAGTGTTATCATGAAGAGAAAATCACTTGTTTTCCAATACACTTCACACATCACTCAACACAGGTGGCAGGGGAGTAGAGCATTTTTCTCATTTCTGCAAACTCTAGGAAGTATTGGTATGTTTTCATATCGAGGACGACACAAGCATAAAAAATGCTTCTTGAGGTGAAGCAAAAACAAGAAAGTCGAGAAGATTCGAGATTCGATTCCTCTACCTGCATCATCTTGTGCGCACCTTCTCATATATAGATAAAGCTAGTTGTTTGCTTGTCTGTCTGTATGTATGTCTGTACGTATGTGTCGCATAGAAAGTTCCATTTCTGACCGATTCGGACCAAACTTTGCATACTTACTCTTCGGGAGAGGGCGGGTGTTGTGAGCTATTTTTCATTATCGATCGATATCGATTTTACAGATTTTTTGCGAAATAAAAGTTACGGGCTGGCAGATGGTACAGATAGGTAGATGAACATGCTAATTACGAATGTATTATTGACGCGGCTGGGCGGAGCCGGTTTGCCAGCAGGTCATATTAAAATACCATTCATAGGCATTTTTTAGAACAGGGGAGATTACACATGGAGGGCAACGAAAACGACATCTGCCGTCATGTAATCGCATATTCTACATAAATATGCCTCGCAATATTGGATGCAGAGAGCTTGATGCATACACTGCACGCAAACGTTTTGGAGATGCTTTCCTTTAACAATGTCCATACTAGCACTGTTACACTTAAAATCAAAGCCGTTACACTTAAGTCGAATATTTATATAAGAAATTAATGTATCACTGTTGTAGCTTATTTCGAATTTGATTATGAGATGCGCGATCTGGAAGGATGGTAATACATAGAGTTTTGCGACTGATATCACACCTTCTTACAAACCTTTATAGCTTTAGAGGTACTGCGAAAGTTCGATGGTAGAGCGGCGTACCACTTTCGAAACTTTCTGCATTGCACGTTCCGGTTGTGGCGAACGCGAGTTTGGCGTATTTTTGATAGATGCCGCAAATATCGCTGCTTTTGTGGCGGGGTTAAGGCGATTTCCGGATGCTTCTCCTATTGGTGATGTACTGCAACCGGCCGCGACTACAGCAGATACTTTCTTTAGTTTACACTCTTCTTCTTGCGCGGGTGCGCTATCATCGGCAGTCTGGGTTGACTGTTCAGGAAGTAGCAATCTCTCTCTTTCCATGTCGTCGTCTAAAACGAAATTTGCTGTAACAATCCACTTGAGGCGCCACCGAAACCGCCTCTTAAAAAGGGCGAAACTTTTTAAATGTGGAATGAACGCTTTCAGTCCGTTCAAAGATTCACAGGTCATGGCACGACATGTCAACCCGCCGTTACAATGTGGTATAGTAGACAAATATGATGTGGAAGCGACTGGTTCTAGCAACTTGCTATTCTATTTTTGGATATATGAAGTATCAGTCACATCTGCTTTCACAATCTCTTATTGGTTCTAATACTACCTGCATCCTCTCGCACAATGAAATCTGCTCTGAAAATCACGGCGTGATGCGGGCATCACGTAAATTGTAGACAGCGAGCCATTACAAATGCTTTTCAATGTAAGGTTTCTTGGAAGTTGTCATTCAGCGTGCAAGCATGGTTGTAACATGGAAATTTGCGACAAGTAGACCATTTCTGACATTCACATACACACGTCAAAATGACAGGTGGCCTTATGTCTTAGCAATGCGTACTGATAACTTGAGTACTTATAATTATCTAAGGCGCTAATAAGAATATTTGTTTTGATTAAACCAAGGTGTCTTATGTTGAATGTCTTGTTCGGAAACAATGTTTCTAGCTCGAACTTGGGCTACAACATAAGGAGCCAAAGGTCCATATGCACGTACATTCCCGCAAGGAGGGGAGGAGATTCTTTCATCTTCTTTTTCTACCTGGGTTATGAAGGTTCTCATATCCTAATGCCTGCGCATAATGGTTGCAAGGGTACTGCAATACAATAGAAAATTCACGATTTTGTGTGATCCCAGGGGATCACCTTTCATTTGTTAAACTCATCTTTCTGGAAACTCAATGCAAACGCATTAAATTGTACTGAAAATATACTACGGCACTGCTATACATTTTTATAGTAAAGATAAGTAAAATCTCAGGATGTTGAAATTTTGAACCATTGCTCGCGAGCTAGAGATTATCGAAAAAATTTACAATTTGAAGATTCCATTTCTCCTGTCGAAAACACGCTTAGCAGTGCCGTAGTATATCCTCAGTACAATTTCATAGCGTTGTCCTTGAGTTTGTAAAAAGATAAGTTGAAAATGAGAGGTGATTCCCTGGGAATTCCCAGGAGGATCAAAAAACAGTGAAAATCTAGTCTTTTATTGCAGTAACCTGGCACCCTTTATAAAGAGGTATCAGGGTATGAGCCCATTCATAAGCCATATAGAGAAAGAAGAAGAAAGATATCTAGAGTAGCGAGGTGAGGCGTCCCCTCTCAGATCCCCTTCCCTCCCCGCGGGGCCGTACGTGCCTACGGACCTAAATGGAGAAATTAGACCAGTGAATGTGTATCATGAAAATGCAACATACAACACCGCACAAAATGAGTAAAAAGTCGCCGCACTGGTGAACACCGATGCACTCCGACGGAGTTCACCAAGTGCGGACTCACGCATCACGCAAACTGCGCAGCTTCATAACTTCCACTAGGTTGCATAAGATTGAATCCGAAGAAAGCACTCTGTTCAGCTCGTCGCGAGTCTTAGAATATACTAGACTGTTTTTATATTTGTTTCTATCTATGGGATGGGTTTTCGCCAATGGTCTTGCCGCAGCTAACATATATGGAAGACTCTAGTAGGTACAAATCGGTAGAGCTGTCGCCGTAGACTATCAAGCGCTAGTAACTCAATGGAGACTTCCGAAAAGGGAGAGAAGTGCATTTGAATTTTAGTAAGTTTATGTCTACCTAAATTTTACTTACATGACCCCACAGTAAGGCGCTGACTTACAAAGCAGATGTGTTTCGTAACAGATAGGCCAGATAGTCTCTTTGAGCATGTTTTCCAAATAATTGGGCCCTTTGGTGTTTTTTCTTCACGACCCGAAGCTCGCCGACGGGTTTCGGCAAAGAGACTGATGATCTTGGAGTGATTGGAAACTTCACCCATAGGAGTTTTATGGCCCCGTTTGCGGATATCGCTCTTTGTGTCTTGTGAGTTCTTTTAGCAAAGCTATATTGAAATAAAATCTGCTATCACTCAAATTTGTAATTTTGCCTGCATTTCTCGTGTAGCTATCGGATAACTCGCCTCCCAAATTACTGTCTGTGATGTTCGTCGGTATGATACCAGAAATTCGCTCTCATGAACTCCTTCCCAAATTTGAAGATTGCATACTTCGACAACGTCGTCATGAGGAACATTGACGACTCGTCGTCAATGTTCCTGCTAATTCCAGCCTGTCCAGAAAGTCGGCGAGCTTTGGCGCCTAGAACAAGAGAAAATCAAATGGACCAATTATTTTGAAATAGAAACATGCCCAAAAGACTATCTGACATGCCGATTACGAAAGCTTCGTGAGTTAAAGCCTTGCTGTAGGATTTTGGTAAGTAGATTTCAGGTCGACATGGATTTTATCCAGAACTAGCTGATATATCCGGCTTCACCCGCAGCGTGGTCTCAATTACCTCATCAAGGAGCGAACTGGTGCGACCCTAAAGGCTTAACTTAGTGTTTCGGCTTCTTCCTGCCTATCCTATTAGCGGGCCTCTCGAGCGCAACGTTTTGTATAACCGCATTTCTCTCTTTGTTAATTGAAAATGAGTTCTAACGCTATTAACGTGAAAATTGGAAGTGGTATGATAGTAACCGATAAAGTTCATTTTTTTTCAAAATCGATAAATCAGTAGGAGTGCAAAATCGACCGCGAAAAGTAGCCTACGAGGCGGACCGGTGTCGAAAACATATGGTGCGAATTTCGCGCTGATCGGTTCAGAAATAAAAATTGCTTTAAAGAACACACTAATAACACTTTTCCAACACTTAGCTTTATATGTGTATAGATTTATCTGCTCTACTCTCCCTTTTCGGAAGAGCTCACCAGTTACTTACTAGCACATGATAGCCCACGGCGACAGCTCTACCGCCTTGTGCCTACTAGAGTCTTCCAGTTACAGTCTTTTTTAACCCGAAGTAGGCGAAACGTTCCGAGTGGAGCAGCGCGTCCAAACCGCCACTGGCTCAGCTAGATAGATTGAAATGAAGAGACGCGGACTGCAAAGCGGCGCGAATCGTTGCGAAGCGGACTCCCGCCAGTCCAATTTCAACTGAGTTGAAATTTACTATATGTTATGCGCTGCGTCACATCACTGCGAAATCGTCCTCACAAATAATCAAGGAAAATGAGAACGGGATATCGTTTGAAGGATATTAGGTTGCCGATAGGCTTTACCCCATGGGAACGCCTAGCATGAGACAGTAATGTTGAAGGAAAATCTGCACGAGACCTCCTTTACGGCGACCTAATGTCCTCTACTCCAAATATCAATATAGTACAGTAACTTATAAGATTTGAGTGTAACTAAGCGTAATACTTTTCTCAGATTCATATATCATGCAAATTGAAGGAAGTTATGAGGCTGGTAGTATGCCTATTTCATGTGAGTTCGCCGCCCTTCGCTGAAGTCCGGCGATGTTTGCAGAAGTTTACCGGAGTGCGGCGACTTTTTGATTGATCATGAGCGTATGCTACTCCTGACTTTTTGAATCTCAAGAACGACTTTGCCTGACTTTTTTTGCATTGACGAGTAAGAATATGAGGCACCTCTATGACCAAGTTGAACCAAGGTTTGTCAACGTTCCTAAGCCAATTAAGCCTTCTACCCTTCGGGATAGTAAGTTGGCGCCAGAGTATTCTGGGAGGATAAAAGCACTTGTCTAAAATTCAGCAGGCAAGTCACTGTAAAGGGTTCAGTTGTCTTTTAGACTTTGAAGTAAAATGCTTTTGGCGCAGGACCTCAGAGGGTAATGATGACGCCAATCTTTATCCTCCGTCCTTTTCTCTTCCATTCTAGACTAGTTTTTGTATTGGTTGTTTGAGACTAGCAAGATGTCATTTCGGATATTCACCTGCCATCAAGTTTTGCAGTTGCAATGCCAATGTGGTTATGTAGAATGGATCTTCGTACTCCAGCACAATGTATATGTGGAAGTTTTCTTTGTCAACATTGTCTCCAAACGATGAGAAAATGCCTAAATATGTTAATCCACGAGAAATTCAACAAAATAATTTAGGCAGCAGAAATGTTCACAACCGATTTATTACCTGGCTTTCTCATGCGAATTTGTCAAGCCATTCAAAGAAGTTACAGGCTCATCAACTGCAGAGTCGGTGCACCAGCATCTCCGCTCCCGCCGGCCGCCTCTCCTGGACTCCGTACCTCTCCCGCGAACATGCTCTCTACTTTTCTACCACGAGCGTAGGAAAGGTGGAGCTTCAATCGTCAGGCATAGGGAAATGATTAAAAAGCGTGTTTGCAAAAAGGTGCAGAGTCTAAGAAAGGCAGATACGCGGGAACAAAGATGCTGGTGCGCCTAATTCTATAACTAATAATCCTTATATTAATTCAGTTTTACGTTATTTGAGAAACTCGTTATCATCAGCATAGCATATAAAAATAGGACTTACCACGCGGTTGTAAGGGTCTGTCAAAGATTTGTTTTGCTTCAAGAATATTTACACATCCTTGATTCTGATATATCTGAATTAAAAAATTACATAACTACAAGTTTGCATTTCAAAGTGATAATAAGATAAGAAGTAAGTAGTCGGAGTTGTTAAAATATTGCATGAGCGGATTTAAAAAAACCTTTATGACTCAGTATCGTATAGAAAATTCAAAGGATGCATTAGAATAGTGCGCTGCGGTGCCTAACAAGTCGGCATAGCAGCATAGTCAAGCCATTTGCGGCTTCCAAGTGAGGTCAGGGCGCACAGTATATTGTAATGCTGCTGCACAGAAACGACGTTTATAAACCTTTGACTCACTCGAAGTGAGCCAAGAGGTACGAATCGCGCAACTTTCTCGCTTGGGCTCTTCACATTTTCGCGAACGTACACTCCATTCCCCACGACGAGAGAGGGACAGGAAAACTTCAAATGGTGATTAAGCGCAAAAAATGTTCAGAGATCACGTTCGCGATAGGGGTCAGACCCCATAGCGAGGCTGTCGCGCGAAATTCGAGCCCTTCGAGTCAGGCTTACTTCAAGTGAGACAGAGGGTAGGTGGTTCTCTCAATTATCCATTGCTGTACACTGAGATGAGAGTTGGCTTTTGGTCTTTGCTAGCGCCTTTGAACTGCTCAATGCTGCATACAAACTTGTGATAACTACTACATTATCTCGTTGATCTTCCAAAAAGTTAAGATCTTGGGTATATTCAAGCGAAGAATATTGGTACATTTAGTATGCAGGACCCTTCTTCACATCGTACACAGAGTTATAATGTGTGGTTTTCGTGACATATCTCTTGAACGCCTACAACATAAAGCTCTAATGAATAACCATGAGTTTTCGTTTCGAAGTCCGCCAGTCGAGTTTTGCCGGATTAAGCTGTGCTAACGGACGAATTATTCCCAACTTGAAAGAGTTTGCACATTCCGCACAAAGCCGACAACTGCTCGGTTACGGTTAATCAGTAATGATTCAGTCATTGAATCGATCCGAGTTGAATATCTTTACGTTAACCAACTTATTTTCAAAAGAAAAGAATATGGAAAGCTCAGACTTATATTGGCATCTATCAAAGGTGAAGTGTGCGACATGCCAACTCTGTAGTAAGGTTGGCACATAGTAACTAACGTTGAGTAACCCGCTACTACTTTTACTAATCATCAACGAAATGATAGACAGAAACAGCGAATTCATTGGATTACGATTATTTCAAGCGCAACGAAATTCATAAAAATTTCCTGAGGAGACTTAGACGAGGTGAAGAAATTTTTGTGCTGCGTTTACTTAGAGCTACACTTTATTCACCCCATGTAAGCCGAAGCATGCAGAGCAGCATTTCCGCTTCACTGGAATCTATGGCCCGTAGTAAAGCTCGGTCATGGGAGATTATCTCCCCTGAGACCTTCATGTGAGGTTCTGTCAGTAAAATGACGACCGCCCATTTCCCCGTGCTATAGGGATGCAACTTCACCTGAGAGGTGAGCCTCAGGTGAAGTTCGGCAGGGAGATGATCTCCCTGCCGGGTCATGGGAGATGATATGAGCGATGATGTCCAGAAATAGTGTGCTAAAGAGGAAACGCAGAGAAAATCTTCGTAAGTTGCTCCTGAGTAACTTACGATACACAGCAATTTGCCTAACACTGCGGACAAAATCGGCGCAAAGTTGCACAACCGCGCCCGAAAAGGAGAGGATCGATGAACAGCTGATTTTGGCGAGTAAGACAGAAAAAAACAAATTCTTCTCTTTTTTGTAAACTTAACTGGTTTTTTTTAAAGCTGTCCAAAACGAGGACTCAGCTGTTCATTTTATTAAATTCACGTTGCAACCATTTCGTTTTGTCGCAAAATTTTCGTAACGAAATGTTTTTTTGTTTTATCTTTACGTTTGCTAGGCGAAATCCTTGATAGCGGTCATCATCGATTGGATAGTGGCCGCTATCAAAGATTGCCCGGCGATGCAGCAAAAGTTGTGTCGCTAGGCGGAATTGAACCACGGCCGCGCGCGTGTAATTCCAATGGCTTACCCATTTAACCAAACCAGCTCAAGTGGTTCTTTTTTCAAGAACGCACTTGATTATAATGTCCAGGAAGCGATCTGCATCCAGATCAATAGCCCGCCGGATGCTGGACTGAGGCGCCAAGATATCAACTCCGGTCCGCCTCAGGGGAGATGCCCTGACGGTAGTTTACTACGGGCCTATGCCTTGCGCACAGCGCTGGCATTTAACCGACTAGAGATCAAAAGGTATGAGTATACGCAGAAATTCTCAGAAGATATGAAGGTGCGAAACGGCGCGAACCGTTGCGAGGCGGATGCCCTTAGACATAGAAATCTTCTTGTCAAACAACAGTAAGTCCGCAGTCAGCAAATATTCCAAACTAATAAGCCTAGTGGCTATAAGTGGGTTGGGGTAGATACATTAGATTTGCTTATTGGGATTGCTTGTAACGCTCTTTCAAAAAAAACGAATGAAAAATTAAAGCACAATCATACCATTTGATTCTTTCGACATGACAAAGACAATGATTTGATACAGCTTCCTCTTTCGCATTAGAAGTGTAAGCGTAAGTATATAGGAACGCGAGATGACTATGTTATGAGGACAAGATAAAAAACACAGGAAGAATTAGTACGTTGTGAGAATAAGATCAACTGTTACAGATATGAGGACGATACCCATTCCGCAGTGGCGTACCCAGGATTTCGGCTCGGGGGGGGGGGGGGCGACAGAAAAATCACTCCGAAAATTTTTTAGGGGTGCTTTCAAAAATTTTCGCGGGCTCATAACCGCCCCTGAAAAAAAAATTTATAAGACTAATTTGAATTTTTAAAAAATTTTAAAAAATATTTTAATTATTTACAAGTATGAGCAAGTCATTTGCACAATTTTATAGCTCATGTAGGCAACTTTCAAAAATTTCGCGATCCGTTCTCGGGGGGGGGGGGGGCGCGCCCTCCCCCCCCCCCGACCCCTCCTCTCGGTACGCCACTGCCATTCCGTAGTATCATAACTTATAATAGAGCGCTAAGCGTCTGTCTATCTGTCTGTCTGTCTGTATACAGTGACCGCCAAAAAGTTGCGGACAAGCCTTCCTCCCAATTTCATCGCTCTATTTCAGAAGGAAAACAAGGATAAAAAAATGTAGTAATTGGAGGGACCGTAGATTCGCCCGCAGGAACGATTACTTTTGGATTGGAGCAGGAATTGTGTTTAGAGCGCTCAATCGTCTCTCGTTCTGCTACGTGCAGTTATGAATTTGACGGAACTCCTTTTTCTAGTACCGTTTAGTCTATGTCTAAACTCTCTTTACACTGTGTTCTTGTGTGACCAAGAAATTTAGGTTCATCTTGTAGGTCTGAAGTTCTAGAGTTTCTCAAGTGAGGTGTAGTGCATCAAAGTTATTGTAATCTTTATTGTCAAGTTTACTAGAGGTGGAAAAAGCAACTGGCTAGAGGTCACTGTCAAAAGTAGTCTACAGCAAACTCAGCCCCGGTCAACATTTTGACCCAGTTACATCTTGATGGTCCCGTCTCATTCGGTTTTCATATAACAAGGCGGTGACGAGGTTGCATCGAGGTTTTTCGCTCGGATGTTCTACACAAACAAAGCCATCCAAATGTTTGCCACTTTACGGCTAATACTTATATTTTGCAGACGCTCTTGCCGCGTCTGTCATTTTAGCGGACTTCTTCAAATGTCATGCTTGGCAACAGAAATCTATCCGAGAATATTTGAATTGGCAACGAATTTGTGCAAGTTGTGTGCATTATCAACTCTCTGCCAGATAAACGTGGAACAAAGATTGATTTCATGAGGGCATCGCAATTCAATGCATAAGCACTAAAGCATGAGGAATAAAAAATACATCGAGCGCTTTGTTGCTCCGAAAAGGAGGACATTTCACAGTCAAGCTCTGCCATGATTTGCTTTGTAGTATTTCAGATTTACTTGAATCATTCAGGCCTGTTGTAGAATCAACTTTTCTCCTTCTGGTGTAAGGCACATTTGATACAACAAACTTGTATTATGGCCCCAATCCTCATATTTCAAGTCACCCAATAATTTACAATGCAGATTTTCAGATTTGAGAAGAGCATTGATTCAGGAAACAATTTTGTGATAAGTACCAAAAATTAGGTATGAATGAGTCTCTTGACGTTTTATCATGTTCTTGTAAATCTGTAACACTGCAAGGACTGACATGAAAACTGGAGTCATGATTCAAGTTTGTTGAAGGTGACATTTGCAATTCTTATTGCAAACGGTTTCGGTTAATGGTGCGTACATTTTCGACAAACTAAGTCGTAAAACCTAAGCATCTGCATTTCAAATTCTTTTGCAAAATTATATTCTTGGCGAGCTTTGAAAAATGAAGTTCAGTGGTCTTTTCCCCGCTTACATTTCGACCTTACCGTAGTAGAAACTCGCCGAGATTACCATAAGTCTGACTTTTTCTCAAGTATATTTGTATGTATATTTGTATAAGGCAAATTTGCCTGGATGATGCAAAAAGTAAAAATTTTTCAGTGAAAAGGAGAAAGTTCTGTGCATCTGATACTTAAATTAGCCTTTCAGGCCCAAGCAGCATGATGTATGGTGATAAAAATCTACAGCGCATCCCAAATACTGTGCACACTGTATGATCGTTAATAACTCTCTTGCCTTCATGTGCTCTTGAAGAGGGCTGTACAAATTTTACGGAGCTGAAAGACTTTGACAAAAGCACAAAAGAACAACTCTTGCCAGCTCTCGAGAAGTCAAAGCAAGAAGACGACGATCAACCGCTGATCGGGGCGCAACATTCACAATCAGAGACAAACTACGATGTTAAGAAGCTGGTACAATCGTAGTTTCCTAGTGCCACCTTTTTTGCAAGAATTTCGCTTATAGGTAGACTCCCCAATGGTCAAGGCATTCAATCTAGCTGAAAGGAGACGGATGTCCAGATCGAAAAAGTGATATCTACTAATAAAAGGAAAAGCAAATTAAACTTTTATGTACAAATTCAAACCGCAATAGTAAAGAATTTTGTACTTGATGCTGATAGTAATGGAACCCTAGAGCTTGAGTAACTCATCTTATGCTGTAACTCTGCGCGGTTTCCCAAAAACCAGTTTCCGCTGGCGATACCCATTTGTCCAGATTTGCCTGGACGCCGGAAGAAATTAGCTCGGCAAGCTTGATACGGAGATTGAGTTGCAGTAGTAGAGTTGCAAGACGCAACATTGAGTTATTTGGTAAGCGCATCCTCAAAATCAGTGTTGGAAGGATAAGGTGCTCTACGGAGGATTCCTGCTCCAATCCAAAAGTAATCGTTCCTGCGGGCGAATCTACGGTCCCTCTAGTAATTGCATGAGGTGATAGAGCTCTTCAAGATCTACAATCTACACTTTGCGTTTTCCGAAAAACATGTATTCTAAAAATTTTAAAAAACTTTTTCTTTGAAAGTCCGAAAATGCAACCATAACCAGTGTGTAGTTCTTGACGAGCTCTGCATAGTAGTATGCTTACCCGTTTGGATTACTTGTGTTTCCACTTCAGAATAGGACTCAAAAGAAAATTTTTGCGTTCGAAGAATTATTGTCCGCGACATTGTGACGCGGCCATTTTCGGACTTTTTTAAGAAAAAGTTTTTTAAAATTTTTAGAATACATGTTTTTCGGAAAACGCAAAGTGTAGATTGTAGATCTCGAAGAGCTCTATCACCTCATGCAATTACTACATTTTTTTATCCTTGTTTTCCTTCTGAAATAGAGCGATGAAATTGGGAAGAAGGCTTGTCCGCAACTTTTTGGCGGTCACTGTATCTGTCTGTCACGAAATTCATATAGCGAGGTGCAGCCAACGTCAGGAGCTAACATTTTTGTCGTAGCACCCTATCAGCGTGTAAGTAAACTGTGCAAAAGCAAAAGCCGATCCAGCGAGAGTAGAACCATTGAAAGTGTGCGTCAAACGGATCCACACGACTTTTGCACGCCAAAATGGGTCGCTAATGGGACTTTCCGCAAAATCGTGGACTTGCTTAACAAGTAAATCCGAAATACATTGACTTCAGCCCAAAGAGTAAGCAAAAAGTCTATTTTGCACAAAATTGGCGCCAAAAAGGTACAACTGCGCAGATTGCCATTTTACCAAGTTTTAAGAAATTGGAAGGATTTTTGCATAGAGATGTAGCCCAAGATAATTGTTATCCTTATGGAGACTACAAAGCCAAAATATTTTCGGTAATCCATTCAAAATCGCATGTTATTCTGCGGAAAAACTTTTTCTTCCAAAGTTACGATTTCACACGGAAAAGCTCTGAAAGTAAACAGTTGTTTACAATTCATTCGGGATGATCGGCAGCGCGCGGTAAGTTTCAAAGTCATTATTATGTGATCACGATGAAGGCATACGTACAGTAGAGGCAGTGCGAACCTCTGCGAAGCGAGGTGAGCGCCAGTGGTAAGTAAGCCGCCACCACCGGGAGCGCAAAGGGGAATCCAGCACCATCGAGGAGTCGACCGTGAGACAGGATGCTGACTGGCTGCCCGTGCTACCCCTCCACGACGACATGGCTATGCCTACCAAACCCGTCATCTAGATCTCAGTCGCCTTTTGTAGTGATTGCGTTGGTTCGCTTTACGTACTTGCCTTTTTTACGTTTGGTGAAATTATAGTATATTAGTCTGACTCGGAGTTCGGGTTTTGCCAGCCTTAGCCGCTTCCACGTTGCTTACGTTGACTGAAGTATCCCACAACCATAACCGATTGAAACGGCTGTTTGAAGCCGCACTTATAATAGTAATGCATTTTATACGGCGTAACAGATTGCTTTTTACTGAAATTCACAAACACTGTGTGGAAATGGGCAGAGGACGGGTGTAGGGCGTTAGGCGACAAACCCAATTTTTTGGACCCCAAAGAACTCCCCGTGCAAAACGTCTCCTCCGCAAAAAACAGGGGGGTGGGGGTCGGGGCCGGTACATTACCCGACGCCAATGGAAAATGGTGCATAGTTTTGAGTTACAGGATTTACGTTGCTTGCGTTTTGCACGTTTTGTCGCCTAACGCTTGCCCTCCGCAGAGGACTATAGTTGCCGAATGTGGGAAGGTCTCGCACGGACTTCTTGCAAAGACGCAGCTCATGCATGTGCAAGGGTGCGTAGTTGCAAATCATCGCGAGGGCCGCCATCTTTCGGCGACATATAGTCCTCTGCCCTGTGGAAAACAAAGCTTTGGCGCGAAAGAATACCCTTGAGTAAGGTTTACCTTAGCTCCATCGTCAGAACACCGCACGTATGCTTGGACTTCTTTTCAAAAGTAGATGCATCTGCATTTTGAATTCTTTTTGCATTAAAATTCACCGAAAGCATAGCTCGAAAATGCGAGGTAGTAAGAGGGATTGCAATGGGGCAATAGAAAGAGGTTGTGAGAGGCGTTGATGATTCACGAAGTCAGGGATAGCGAAGCACAGCGATGACATTGATTTTGAGACACATTTTCCATCGTTAATGATGGGAGCTGCGATTGATTTACGATTTCGAAATCACCCTCATTCCGTCTGCTGTATACGCATCTTACATCATTCGTCTTTGAATTGGCTTTCAAATCTTTGCGAGACACTTGATATCTAACGCTCTCAGACTACCAACCGCCTTATGCAACGCTATAAGGGGCTCTAGGGTGAGAGATAGTGGGACATGTTGCAACCTCGCCAAATGTTTCCTGTCCATATACTTCAGTCATTTTTATGCCTTAAGTTGCAGCTCCGTGTGAAAGTAAAGAACTCTGCCGGGAGTGTTTGTATAACTATAAACTTCGGCCCAAAATGTCCTCTAACAATATATTGACACCGAAGTTCATTAGTGTTGCAAAGAAACAAGCGGTGTTCAAAAATATTGATTAGCTCCTCACTTCTCCCAGATGCATCTTTCCTCAGACAGAGAAGTTTGGAGACGTCTACATGAGTCACATACTCTGCATAGCAGGTTATCGGGTATAAAAGGCACTCACAGTATTTCGACATGCACCATCCTGCGCTTGTTTTTTGTTCAATAGACAAAGCTCTGTTACAGTCAAACTGCGGACATCGTAACGTATCTGTATTTTCAAATCCCTTTACGTCATTTTTTTTTTGTAGTTGAAGTGTCACCGATTGGCCTCTGATATGCTTTTGTCTTCGCCTTCTTCTTCTTGTTCGTACAGAGCGCCAAAACGGCTCCCACTTCCTTTTAGTAGCTGGAATACCCTCGAAATCACATTGGGGACCATGACAATGAGTAAGTCTGATTGAACTTACAACACAGCTCACCCGCTAACACACCACCCATCAGCATCTGGGATGGTCAAAATGATGCACAATGAAGTTCTGCTCACGACAGAGAAATGGAACTGATTAGATTTGGAGCATCACAAACAGCAGCCGACAACACCTCAGTTAGTAAACTCATCATCTTTCATGGTACAGATACTTACCTCAGTTTCCAACTTTTTCGCTCACTTAAGTATACTACGCTGAGTCCAAAAATCCATCTTACAAAGGCTGGGTGCATGATTCCCATGTTACAGTTCCCGCACAGTTTCCGCATTGTGCTGAAACTATTCCGGAACTGTTGCATGCGCTGCAGCCTCCCCGCACGCTTTTTAAAAGGCGGGAGTTGGAAAATTTTGACCGTTTTCAACGGTTTTTCTTCCAGATTTCTCTCATTCTGGCCTTATTCCTCTACCCCGCTTCCCTTCTTTTTGTTCAATGAAACTTCGAACTTGAAGCGGGGTTGAGGATTGAACGCTGTTCTGCACCGTGTATCCGGGAAGATGGGTCTTCGTGCGCTCGTCCATTCTCTCTTCGCTATTTTTCAGATCTACTTCATGCGCTAGGAAGGCGCTGCGTAATCTCGCATCTGTATCGAAAGGGACATAGACAGGTCTCCACATGAAGTAGGTCAAGCAAAAATGACGAAGGGAGAATGGACGAGCGCTGAAGGCCCATCTTCCCGGATATATGGAACAGAACAGCGTTCAATCTTCAACCCCGCTTCAAGTTCGCAGCTTTTCTCTTCACGAGGAGGAACGGGGTATAAGAAAGAACGGAGAAGCAACGATATGAAAAAGGAAAGAGAACGCTCAAAAACGCAACTCATCAGAAAACAAGAGAAAAGTCTCAATTTGTGCAATTTTAAAATTGCTCGCATTCCCTAATTCATGGCAGATGGCTATGAAAGCTATGCAGCGGCTTCCTGGAACAAATGGATTAGGTCTGAGTAAAAATAAAGCGAAGAGAAAATGGACGAGCACAAGAACACACGTTTTGTCGCATACGCAGAGCAAAAAAGCGCTCATTCTTCAAACCCGCTTTGGGTTTAAAGTTCCGCTGATCAAAAAGGGAAGCGGGGAGGAATAGGGCCAAAATGAGAGACATCTGGGGCGGTATGCATCAATCTCCCGTTATGAAAGCGGGCGATCATTTGCAATAGAAATCATACATCACGGGTCGGGCACCCAACCCGGGCGGCCGATCATTTTCTATTGAAAATGATCGCCCGCTTATAAAACGGGAGATTGATGCATACCGCCCCTGGAAAAAAAAGCGTTGAAAACGGTCAAAAATTCTCCAAATTCCGCCGTTCAAACGCGCGCGGGGTGCGCAGCGCATGCAGTAACAGTTCCGGAGTTCCAGCACAGTGCGAAAACCGTGCGGGAACAGTTTCGGAACATGGGAAGCAGTATGAACCTAGAGCGAAAAGAGCGAAAACGGCAAGAAAGTTTTTTTAACACGTTTCGGACCGGTGCTGCACATGGTGCAGCACGCTGCTTTGAGGGGTCTTTCTGGCGTTTGCAGAAGGTTTCCTTTTAGTCTGAAGTTGTTAGGTCAAAGGTCTTACCTCCTACTTTTCAAATGACTCTGTATAGTTGTGCCGCCGATATTTGTTTAAGAGATATGAGCACAAATCGAACAACAGTTGCAACGAAGTGCGGCGACGCGAACGACGCGTGCGACGTCGCAACTTTCCTTTGCTTTGATATCAAGGAGAAAACCCGTAGTTTTGATACTGATGTGTACCGTGTCCAACATAGATACTTTTGAATACTATTAGAATCTGAGTTCTTGTTCCTATCTTTCAAGAAAGCACAAAAGTCCCTCTCAAGCGACAAAATTCAAACACTTCGATTTCACTCAGAACTTTGGATATGGTGCTTATCTGACATGCTGATTACAAATGTGGCTCATAGGCTGCGAAATAAGGTCCCTTTGTAGGCTAACGGCTGAAAGTACACTCTTTTTCACCGCGCGCGATTTCGCGGTCCGAAACGTGTTCTTCCATTAGAATCGAAATAACTGGTGCAGTACCCGCCAACATTTAGAGGTTGAGTCGCCGCAGGACCCTAATGCCTTTAGCAGCGTGCGCAGTGTAGCTCAGTCTTAGATTCGCGGGTGGGCAAGGTTTTTCCCCTGGGTCGTAAGTATTCTAACTCGCCAAGGGGATTGTTCGCTTCTGTTCCAATATTATGACTTCACACTTGTGCGAGTTCTTGTCCGAAAGCGTCCACTTCCGCACCCACATATTGCAATCTTCTTGCCCATAGCTGGCTTCGATCCTTATAAAAGCATAACAAAATGATAATGGGGGAACTTTTCACTTAGCTCACTAGCGATGCCCGAGTTATTGATAGTTATGAAGCAACGATTCATTCGGACCGAACTTGCAACTCACTGGAAGCTTATTGGATAAAATTCTCTTACATGACGCCACCCACTTGCAAATGTAGATGAAATAAAACTTTTGGTAAAGTGCCTAGCAAATCACGAGAACATATAGGATCTTTCTATAAAAATGGACCCGTGCACAAACGAGAAACTGAAGCAGGAACAAATACGAGGGAGAGATGGGAGGAGGAGGGGAGAAGCGGCTCTAACCACGCTAGATACGAACCACAAACGGACCGCTGCCATAAGTTGTCAAAAACGAAGGGGCGTGATTGCTGGCGGTAGTCCATTGGTCTACGCTCATGGCTCAGCATGAGGTACTTGCCTTCTATTCACCCGCCAGTTGCTTGCTCAAACCTTACAAATGATGATTATTGCACCCATTTCTTGCGTGTCAATACGTTCAGCCGAATGACATATGGTAAGTATAGCAAAGTAATCCCGGAGGCAGAAAGCTACTCGTCACGGTCCCACCAAAATTCTTAGAAGAGAAAAGTCACTTCGCAAAGCGTAAAGCAGTATCTATGTCACTCAATAACTGTGCTATCAATTTTGAACAAGCTTTTTTTATGTCTCTGTTTCTGTCATTACGTTTTCTTATGTATTTGAAAAATGTGACCTATGCAGTGCCTCTGCAGGACACCAGCATTCATGCGAAAACGTACGCAATGTTAAATGCCCTCACCTTATCGTGAAAACTGCGCTTACAAAATTGCCATGGAAGGCACATTTTCTTTGGTTACGCGCAAATGTTGTTGGCAATGGAGAAACACTGTATCGTCGAGTCGTTGGTAACTTAATATGCGCACTGCACACCATATGAGCTATCTGACGAGCTCCAAAATTAGAACCTGCTCATTTTCAGCGATTTCTCCTTGTTTCACTGTCTCTTTTTTTTTCTTGGATATATGTTAGTTAGTACACAATTCTGCGGTTTGTTAGGCTAGAAAAGGTTCCATTGAAAAATTACTAGTAAAGGTGCGGCAGCTTGCCGCGCAGAGTGTGCACTTCCACATATTAAGTTGCAGTGACTTGAGGATTGCGCCGCAACGCTGTGTGGGACCCATTTTCAAAGACCTTCCTGGAGGAGACTATGCGCCTGGGACTAATGTCTCAGTCAAACGAAGTACAATATATATGTGTATACAATTATGGTCCGCAGTAAGCCTCCGTCATTCCGAGTCAATTGAGGGGGCCTGGCTTGTGAGTTGACCTTACGGCATCAGCGCACTGCTAAGAGAGTCGCTGGAGCGAATCATTTGTAGACGCATGCGTTTTCGAGGAAAGAAATATTTGACGTCCTAGTACGGTAAAGGTCCGGCTTTCCTTGAATCTTGGCATTGTTGTAGGCACTTTTCGGTGAGATTGCTGAGCTTAACCAAAATTGGTATGATAACTTTTATTGGCTGAGTCGACGTTTCGGCGATCTACGCCTTCTTCGGAGCCTGGAAAGACGAATTCATAGTCTATTCACTCAGACGTCAAGGGCCAGGAACAAAACAAACCGAGGAGATTAGCTAAAGACATTACCAGAGCCACAAGAACTTATACTCACCTTAGACGCAGCACAATCGGTAGCTGGAGAACAGACCACCTAATGCAAAACTGTGCCTCCAACCTCTATTTATACGCCCGAGTGACCTCATATTTGACGTCTGCACGGGGGTTTGATCAAGGTAGATAAAAGTCATGCGGCAACTGGCAGCGCTATGGTTCGACTGCTTTTAGCGACACGATTTTTGCTACTTCGCCGGCTCTTTGATAGCGGCTGCCATCGAAAACTGATATTGACCACTACGGGATTTCGCTTGGCAAACGGAATACAAAACAAAGAAAAAGCAAAATCACAACAGTTTAACATAATTTTCACAGAAACTGTAGATGCTGGAAAATATTAGGAAAAGATGAACTCTAATTGTGCACAATTTCCTAGGGGTTGAGGTATTCTTTGCGAGAGATATTTAGAAAAACCAATTTTCTGCAGCTGTAGTGGATCAGAGTTCATTAACACGTTTCGGACCGGTGCCGCACATGGTGCAGCACGCTGCTTTGAAATATCTTTCTGGCGTTTACAGGAGGTTTCCTTTCAGTCCAAAGTTGTTAAGTCAAAGGTCTAAGCTCCTACTTTTCAAGTGACTCTGTAGAGCTGTGCCGCGCATATTTGTTTAGGAGATATGAGGACAAATCCAACAACAGTTGCAACGAAGTGCGGCAACGCGAACGACGCGTGCGACGTCGCAACTTTTCTTCGCTTCGATTTCAAAGAGATAAACCGTAGTTTCAATAGTGACGAGTACAGTGTACAACATAGATATTTTTGGATACTATTTGAAACTGAGTTCTTACTCCTATCTTTCAAGAAAGCACAAAAGTCCCTCTCAAGCGACAAAATTCAAACAATTCGAATTCACTCAGAGCTTTGAGTATGGAGCTTATCTGACAAGCTGATTACAAATGTGGCCCACAGGCTGCGAAATAAGGTCCCTTTGTAGGCTAACGGCTGAAAGTACACTCTTTTTCGCCGCGCGCGATTTCGCGGTCCGAAACGTGTTAATGTTCCCCATCCGTGAGCCCCCGAATTTTGTAGGTCAACTCTCGTGTTCCGTAAGTTAACGAGCAACTCAGACTTACGGGGTTTTCCTTTGATTCTTCACCTTTGCACATTATTTGCGCCAGCTGACCTTCCGGCCCATCTTTATCGTACAGCCTTTGGCACAGTGGTCACGATACCGTCCCCTTGCGAATTCTGTGAAAAGGCAGCTGATGTGTCTGCCACGATGGTAGTCATCCGGCTCGACAAATCGCATACCGTTTTTAGCTAGGGCATAGTTCTCCAACATTGATCGCCGCGATTACTGCAATAAGCAGCGATGTCGCGTTGCGCGTGGTGCGTATCGCCGAGGTGCGAAGAAGATGTGGAGATTTTTTTGTGTACATACATTGATGTTTCAGCGTGTTTTTTTTTGGAGAAGGAGTGAAACCCATATGTTGAATTAGTTGAACAGAAAATAGAGTTTCGAATCCCTTTTCATAATTACGAATTGCCTGTGACCTGCTGTCATTTTCTTGTTGATCTAAGTTGGTTATTCTAAAGTGTTTTATTAGGTTGTAAAGAAAGCGGGCACTTTGGAAATTTTATTTTCAAAAGCATTTTTTCGGCGCTCGGTCGGAATTTGACACCAAGTTTTTTATACTGTTCGGCAGAGTCTAAAGTTTTCAACACGGCTTCTGATTTTTATCGACGCCAAGACTTGTTCTGCACATCAAAAAGAAAAACCTTTCCAACCATAAAAATCCTGCACAAATATGCCACTTTTCGCGACGACCTTTTTCCTTTCTGCGCATGCTGGTGGACCGCAGTAAGGCGCTGAAAAGCCAAAAAAAAAGACAAATATATGTTGTGGACAAAATTGTATTTGCAATGAAGTTTCTAGCTTCAGAAATGAATCAATCTGCTTGAAATTAGTCATGCGCTATATTCCTCGAGGATACGCAATCGATACGCATAGAAGACACAGTTGCCAGTATTGGCGACTGTGTCTTCTATGCGTATCGATCGCTAACAAGTTACCACGTCCAATCGATACACATTTAACGTGTAGTCGCCAACACTGGCGACGTGTGGTAACTTGTTTGGCGATTGGCGATCGCCAGTCGCTAATATCAGCGGCGGGCGATCGCCAATCGCCAAACAAGTTACCACTCGTCAAATCGATATGTATCAAATCGCTACGACTGGCGATCGCCAATATCGGCGACAAAAATCCCCGGTTTTACACGCATTTGATGCATATCGATCGTCGCCATGCTATACTCCTCGAGGGATATAGCGCCTGCCTTACAGCGATTCTTTCTTTACAACCTTATATATGGGTGGTCTTAGCGCTGAGGTCTTGCTTTCTTGAATAAATCTAATTCTCAACTAAATACTCTATATCATTCCAATCGAGCGGGTATCCTCACGTTTGCATAAATGCGAATGAATTTTCGTGCTCGATTATAATATACCAGTGCGCCACCTCTGCTTCGCAGAGGCGCACTGGCTCTACTATCTATGTGCCTTACTCATTCTCGTAAAATCATGGCACTGGAACTCACCGCGCTGTGCCGACTACCACGAGTAAAATGTAAACAACTTCTCATTTAGAAAGCTTTTCCACGTGAGATCGGTGATTTCGTGTGGATGAAACTTTTCGCAGAAAGACAAACGCAAATTTGAATAGGTTTCTGAATTTTTCATGACTTGGTAGTTCGCCGTAAAGGCAATAGTGACCGTGCTCTACATCTCCGTACGAAAATTTTCTCAAATGCTTGAGTAGAAAACCTTGGCAAATTGACCATTTACGTAACCAATTCTCTTTGGCGCCATTTTCGTTATGTAGTAAACTTTTGACCACTTTTCGGGCTAAATTCCATCGCTTGCACATTTGCTTACCAAACGCATCCACCACTTTGCAAAAAGTGGTGATACGGACCCAATTTTGTGGAATAGAAGCCAGGTGGATTCGTTTGGCGCGCAATTTTTGAGGGATCCAACAACGAATCTACTCGCGCTTTTGCATATTGGGCTTTCATGAGGGTAGCATGCGCTATGCAAAATTTGAGCTCAGAACGTTGGTTGGAAACTGCTCTACAAATTTCGTAACAGACACACTCACACACACACACACAAAAACACGTAAACACCCTTAGCCCGTTATTATAAGTGATGATTGGCTTGAAACGGTTCTGTTTGTATTTTTAGCGTTTTCACAATGCTTCAGTTTTTTGAAACGCAGTCGCGAGTTTTTGCCGAAGCGCTACGGACCCCATGTCATCTTTCCTATCCTCAGTTCTTTGTGATCCTTGTTCTGCCTGTTGTACTCGCATTTTTTCATTGTGAGCAGGCATGCTGAGAGTAAAGTAAGTAGCCAAATTTTCCTTTCGGGTGAGGGAGGGGAAGGGAAATTCTCGAATGAAGGTCCATAGCAATAATGTATTCCGAAAAAAATTTTGGGATGCAAAAATTTTTGGGGGACCCTTAACCTCAAATTTTCAAGAAGGAGGCACCAGCCACTCCTCTAGAAAAATATGATTGATTATGAAAACACAGTTCCTGATATTTATTTGATATCAAGTCTCTCCGTATGTTATTACATCTTAACAATAAACCAAGAAATTGTAGCCTTTCAGGTTTTTCACTAAGAAGTCGGATGCATGCTTCAAAAAATTTTAGTTACTGTTTTGGAATGTCAGTACAAAACACCCCGCCAACAGTCTTCGTGAAGCAACAAATAGGTACAATACCGCTCACATTTTTTGAAAAAAAGACGCGAATGTATGGACATGTATGGACATGTATGGACATGTACGGACATGTACGGACATGTCCATACATGTATGGACATGTCCGTACATGTCCATACATGTCCATACATTCGCGTCTTTTTTTCAAAAAATGTGAGCGGTATTGTATATTCGAATGACATTGTTCAGTGATGATGTTATTTTTTGTGCATTCCATCATTCACTACGGAAATTCGCGATCTACAACCAATGCCGCTTTTCCTTTGTGTCTTCAGTGTCTTCATTCATTTGCGCACTAAATTAACAACTCCTGACACACATATCTTTATTCTTGGAAAGCGAACAAGCATTTATTTGATTACGCTAGCGACCACATTTTTGTGAGATTCCAAATGAGATTTGGCTATAGAAATTTAGAAGATATTTTGAGGGCCGAAAATCTACACAAACCCGAAATCTACCATGCAGATTGTATGAACGATTATTAACTTTGTCTACAATTATTACATTTCAAGCATCTTTCCTACAATTATTACAACTCAAGAGTTTTAGTACTAAGAAACAAAGGCAGTATGATTTGACAGTGATCCAGATTCCTTTTTTGAGAACATGCAACGCATAACGGGTAAATTATTTGACAGAAAGTGAGATTTTGGCTTTCTTGAGAGGGGGAGAACCGTCGAAGTCGAGAACTCGGGTGAACGGTTGGGCTGACGTCGGTGATGGCGTATTTGCATCCAGTTTTACTTCAACCGCTGTTTCTTTTTCCTTTTCGTCCTCATCATCGAAAACCAACCGTTTTCTAAAAAAAATATTGATTAGTCTCAAGAGTTAACACTCATGGCTTAAACATGCCTCAGTGGAGGGGAATTGAAAGTTTTGTCATACTTCCTTTTTGTTCGGAGCGATGGTGGATAGACAACATCTAAAAAGATGTTGGAATTTTGTGTATGTGGACAAAAATCAAGCATACCCTCAAACTCATATTCCCAATCCTTGTCCATATAATACTCTTTATCGCAGGGTGTGCTTGTCTAAAAAACATAAATAGTTATTTTCTTATCACTTCAAAATTCATATCCTTACCTCTCTCAGAGTTCGGAAAACAGCTCTATGCATGTCTATCTTCTTAGTCTCATCCAAAAGTCTCTTCGCTTGAGGACGACATCTTGGTTTGAAATTCAGAAGCCGAACTATTTTTTCCCGCAGTGTACAGGGAACTCCATCAAACCAGGATTTTGGCAATGGACCTTTTCTAATGACGGTTCGCTCGTCCTCCACGTCAACGGTCGTTGAAAGCTAAAAAATTTGATTATGAATTTTTATTGGCCGGAGCTGTGATCATTCATATCTTCCTACAAGTCATATTCTAGTTTAAAAAGCAAAAATCTACCTCAAGCATCGTAACACCAAGGCTAAACATATCAGATGCTGCTGATGGAGGTCCATTAAGAACTTCTGGAGCCATATAGTTTCTGTCTCCCTCGTCAGCAACTTCGGCAGACGTCTACAGTCATAACAAAGTTGGCAATTACTTCCACCCGAAAACATGGGCTTGGAACCTACCAAGTTTAGATTGATAGCCAAGCCAAAGTCTCCTAATTTGCACATAGAATTATCTAACGAAATAAAAATGTTTGATGGTTTCACATCCAGGTGTAAAATGTTCTCGGAATGAAGATGATCAAGTGCCTGAAATGCCCACTTTTAATTCTTTTTATACTTCAAAGTTTGGCGCAAGTAACCTTAAGTGTGTCAACCAGGACAGTCCATAGTTCGTCCTCCAAAAGTGGTCCAAATTCGCATCTATACTCGTTCAGGCTTGGACCGCATAGTTCAGTTTGGATGTAAAGACGTCCTCTGCAGGTAATTTCTTCTTAAATCCCTTCGCCGAAAATCCATGCTTACCTCTCTTCCCATGCTTTTTCGAACTGTACAATATTTGGATGAGGAGCGACTGATTCATGCGTTATCACTTCCAGTAATTGACGACGTCGCTTTCCGGATGATTCAAATGTGCGCAGGGCTTTCTTGATCGCAAACCTTTTCCCCGTCTCCAAACATTTCACGTCCAAAACCTTAAAAAACTTATAGAACACAACATTCACTAAGGCTGTTAGAGGTAAAAGTCTCTAATTTCCATTATTCAGTGCAGTTTTACTGAGGGACTCTGAATATGAGCGATTTTATATTTCAAAAAATAGCAATTTAAAATAATATATCATTGCCGAATTCGCGTTAGTGTAATAGAGTGAAGATACTGGAAAAAAACTTGTAAACTTACTTGACCAAATGATCCATTACCGAGAACTTTGATGAGGTCAAAACATTGTTCCATATACGTTTTTGTTTTTGAAAATCTGTACATTGGACTCAGATCTGAAATACATACAATTTAGGGACAAGGTAGAAAGATTAAGTTGAGGTCAGGGTAAGGAAACATGATCGGTAACAAAAGAAAAGAATTCTCACGAGTTCGCATTGGTGACTTCATCGCTGATATTTGGTGAGGCTTCATCACAGGAAAACCTGGAGGATAAACTCTTCCAAAGGATCGTGTAGCTCTCGTCACCGTAACTCTTGTCGGAGGATGCGTCTAGAACAAGAACTTGACCACTTACAAAAAATATGAAAAATAATAAGAAAACATACATGCAATCGAGGTTCAGACCTATTTTTTTCATTGCATTCCATTGTTGAGCAAAATTTCTATGTACAGATTCAATCTGAAAATCGTACTGTCAGTGGAGTAGGATAGAACGATAAAATGATAACGCAAACAATAGGTAGGAATGGATATCAACCAGGACTGGCTTATGGTAAGAGATCAAATGATGTGACACAAGGTCACCGCTGGCGGATCGTTTCAGCACCGGCAGTACTAATTCACACCTCGTCGATGACATTCTCGGCCTTCTGGCAGCAATCGCATCGACTCGACCGCAAGCAGGGTCATTTATTAGCATGAATAAAATGATAATAAGATAAAGAATCTAATCTTATTATCCCTTTCCTTCTGCTAAGTTCTAGAAGATCGACCTTACTGGGAATCATCTGTAGCGAGGGTAGCTTCATAAAATAAATAGCAAAGGGAGTTTCTTATTTTGAAATATTCACCAAGTTGGTATGCAAAAAAGATGTTTTTCACGTTTTTTGACGAGGTTCAGTTGATCTATTCTGTAGCTCAATTAATTCAAAATGTGAGCTTATTTAGATATTAACTGTTGAAGTTGTGTAACAGCAAAAAATGCTAAACCCTTAATAGAAGCCTTAATCCTGAATTTGCTCGAAGGTTGGAACATCATTTAAGTAGGAAGCAATTTATGCTAATGAACAGGTAGCAATTTTTGCTGATGGCCCCTTATCAGCAATTCCTTGCCATGGGCGTGAAGTTATGCTTGGTTAGCAGCTAACCGACTACAAACTGACTAATTCCTTAAAATCTCTAGACTTTTAAGAATCTCAAGTACAAAAAAGTAGTCTTGGGAACGCTCCGTCAATACCTGATACACTCTCGGAATCATTTCAACAGTTTGCAACAAAATTTTTTTTTCAACGTAAGTGCTGCACGCTTCCAACTTTCAAATCCCAAAAAGTCTTCACAAGTAATTGAAATCAATTCTTGGAATTTCAATCGTTTCAAATCAAAAACAAGTTGCCTACACAATTTCATATCATGTGGACCTTTTCTGAAATGCATGGACGCTCGATTCTCCATGTGAGGGACTCACATTCTCTTACTTATTATTCTTCTTTTGAAAAATAGTTAGGAATTCGTTGTGATTTTCCTGAGGCAATAAAGTTTGACTCACGGTTTCAACCCAATAAATTGATAAAGAGGAAAATAAGAGTAACATGCGAGCAATTACTTATACAATAGGATGAACTGAAAGTATAACGAAGTAAGCTTTTGTCTGCTATTTTTTGAGACTGTCGCTACAGCTTTGAATTTTACTTGATACTTCTAAACATTCCAGTGATTACGTAGACAAGTTACAGAGGTGACCAATTGGTGCGATGCCCTTTTCCCACTTCGTTCTAAAGAATGAATGGAATAGTTCCTAAGATTAGTTACGCTTTATGAGTATGCCACCGGGTAAGCGATGCCTTTAGCTTGGTAATTGGGGGAGGCAACAAGCCACAGGCTAAATAGCGCAGCTAAGTCAGACGCTACCGTATCGTCACGGCGAAAATTCAAGAAAGGTGGATGCAGAATTTCAAACATTTTTACTGAATTCTATAAATGTTGGGAGATCAGTGAAGTCGAATAAGGCAAGATCAAAGTTAATGAATTCTTCAAGCTTTCAATTTCATCACATCGAAATGAAAAGAGTAAGTTCAAATACATAACTTTGATTTGTAACTTCTACTTACAATTTTGGCTTTCCGTATTCCTGACACGTAAGGGTACTTCATAAACAATTTGAGGTAGCCATTTCCGCCAAATCTCTTCTTTATTTGCATTTCCCAGGCAATCAATACCTCGCCACAATTACGTCACGAAAGGGCAGCACTTTGCAAGATATCTAGGAAGTCAAGATACCCTTGAGTCACTGCGGGCGACCCAGAACGCAACCGATGGTCACTGCGCCTTTCGTGGGCGACTTAGCGAGTGCTGGCATCGAGCTTGGTGTTAATTGCTTATATAATTGTAGCTCCTATTCACGACGAGTTTGCATTCTACTCGCCTAGTGTCGACGTTGTGATAGCACTGTCATCGTGCTGTGAACCCTGATGGATTTCGAAAATGCGGTGACGGTAACATTTCCTTTGCTCGAACTGCCTGAGGAGCTGCAGATCGAAGTGCTTCGCAAGGTAGGTCAAATCTTCTGAATTCTCCGAGGGTCTAACTGATAAATCTTGCTTCCTCTTCTAGTTAACCCCGCAAGATGCCAATAGGATTCGATGCGCTTCATCCCATATGTACGCGATGGTCGAAGGAAATCGAATGTCACTGGCAAGAAGAAAAGTCAGATCCGTCTCTATCGCTCCGGTAAACCAAATATTCACCAAAGAATAGAGTTTTGCTTTTCTTCTCTAATATACTCGGTAAATTTTAGAATTGGAGCGAGTTGGTTCCCAGACGCGAGAACATTCCAGCTGCAGAACGTCTGAATTACGACGAGGATGAATTTGCTCGTTTGTTCCGTGCCTGTGATGTCGATATGCTGCACATTATTAATGTAAGTGCATTATTCAAAATATTTTTAATGAACGGCCGGTTCTAGAAAGTATACAGTTTACTTTCTGACAGAGGTTCTTCCATAGATAACAAAAGAGAATGTCTGCAAAACAAAATTCAGAATTTGCACTCCCTGTGGCCTTTTTACACCGAAGTCTACAAAATCGCTATGTACAGAATGGAAAACGGTTGCCCAATAAGCTCCAATACAATGTTTACTGTACTCTTTACAAAAGGGTCATTTTAGGGACCGTAATTTTAAATAAAACTGATAAACTAAATTGATGATAGAATGACTTTGCTCTTGCAAACAGTCTGTTCCATTCAATAATACCGTTCAAATTTGCTTGGTAAACCACCAGTAGCAATTTGTTGTTAACCGACACAAGCATCATCGAAGTCATCACCCAAAATTTCTTGATATCCTCCTGTAAATCTGTATCTTAGCGCTACTATACAGCTGCTCTACATAAAGTGACGGGTGGATCTTTGAACTCTAATTTTGAGCCGTTTTCTACTACGGATTTGTGCGGTAAGGTAACGTACATCACCGATGTAGCACTACTGTGATTCACCGTGTAGACTAATTTGCTTCACCATGTGTGGTACCATGGTGATTCACCTTGTGTAACAGCACTCGATTATACGTATTTTTTCATTTTACCAGTCCTTTTGAGAAAATACATTATTTTCTAGATTTTGCGAACGGATGGCATTAGGGCAATATTTTTCTTTTTCTGTCATTAGTTTTTTGTCTCCGCGTCGTTTGTACTTTTCCTTGATCATCTGGTGATCTACCACCACAGTTTTGCTGTACTGGACAAATCAAAGAAAAAGTAAAGTAATCATGACAAGCGAGCTGTCATATGGACTGCCACAAAGGTTCAAAGTAGGTTAGGTTGTTGGAGTAGCGGCATTCTGGTGTCTGCGTTAAGGGCCGAGCATACTTCACGCGATTTCAGTCGCGACGCGATTTGGCAGACCGCCAGTCTTGTGTAGCACTTGCTTGGTTCACCGTGTGCAGCACTAAGATGACTCATTGTTGTGCAAAAAAAGTAAGATAGGATTTCTTCTGAGTAAAATTTTCACATCCAAATGATGTTACCAGAGCTATTTTGTCTCCGAAGAGCGCATTTCCGGGTTCTTCTAATCTAAAGATCAACCCTCCTAAATCTTTTCCTGTGCAAACAGAATATAAACCTTGATAACGTTTTAAATAGAATAATCAATTGGTATATCATTGATCAACTTTCAATAATCGATTAATTTCTTTTCAGTCAAGAATGATCAATTTTCAGTTCGACTTCACTCAAGCATTCGTTGAGTCGTTTCTCAGCGTGCTTTCGCGGAACCAGATCCGAGTAGCACAGTTTAATTTTGGAATTTGTCGCTTCTCCTGCGATCCAAGCACGTTCTGTCAACTTCTGCCAGCTGCGAAGCTGACAGAACTTTGCATTATGACCAGTAGCGCATCTCAGTCGGACTTCTCAGCTCAGGTGCTGTCATCACAGGAAGCGAAGCAGGTGAGTAGTTTTCCAGTACAAACTGTGCCTTCATCATGATTTGATCGGTTTAGCTGAACCGCCTGGCCATAGGCTTCCCATCGGAAGTTTCCGACAACTACTTGCTTTCTTCAAAACTCAGCTGGCTAGCCGTAACCGACACTACCATTTCATCTGCCGCAATCCACACCTTCGTTCTGGAATGGACCCACGGAAAAAGATCTTTCGATTACCTTGGCCTGACCACCACTTGCCATGTGGATGCAAGAACAGTCCTTCAGGGGACCACTTTTTGCCAAACTGGTCCCAACATTTTCGCACTGATTAACAATCTCGGAGAGGAGATGACAGCCACCATCGATGAGAATTCTTTCGTGATGTACAATAAAGAAGCGGAGCGAATTATGCGGGAGTTCGATAGCTAAACTTGCATGTATTTTTAGTTTTGTTTCTATTATTGTTGTCTGTTAAATAGTTGATAGATAGTTTGCATGCAAGTTCAGAGTTATATATAAGCATAGCAACATAAATAATTCGCATGAGCTCATGTACGAGTTTACTGTACTGGCTGATGAGAAGGGGAGGGCTTAGTGGGGTTCTGGGTTGGTTACGTAAGAATACGACAAAAGGTGACACAAAAATTGCAAGAAGTGAAAAGTACTTCAAAGTTTTGCCGCAGTTCGATAACTATCTCCATGTAACTGATCACATGAGAACGGCTGTAATTGCAATACAGAGTGTCCCAAAAAGATGTGCCCACTATTTGATTGTTAATAACTCTCTCGTAATAAACTCTTTCGAAAAGCTTGTGGTACCATTTTGTAAAGCTGCCTTCAGCTTAGATTGACAGTTTAGGAAGGGTTACTGACAGCTCTCTATTGCTGTGGGATTACGGTAGGGATTTCAAGAGGGGTTTGAGCCATGAAAGACCATATTGGCCTCAGAAAGGAAACAAAGCAACATGAAAACTCTCACACTCGGCTAACTAATGCTTTATTAAAAAGTTATGCGAGGTAAGCAGTAACGACCATTTTTTCAATGTTTGCAGTGCGGTCACACCATTTATAAAGCTTGCAATCTTGTACATATCGAGTATTGAACTCAGCGCCTATGAGAACTCTATTATGTAAGTTTCACATTTTTTTGAAAATTGTCGAAACGGCAGCTTTCAGCGATACTATATGCTTGTTTCTACCGTAATCCTATTGTAATAAAAAGCGGTCGAATTTGCTCTATACTGTCAATCTAAGTTGAAGTCAACTCTACAAAAAAGGTACCTGGAGCTTCTCGAAAGACTTCATTACAAAAGAGTTGAGAGTTGACAATCAAGCAGTAGGCACTTTTTTGGATCCTGTATATGCCATAAGCCTCAAGGTCCTAATAAGGGAACGCTTATTTTATTAGGTTGAACACTAAGTTTTGCAACTTGTTTCATAACTTCACTCTTATTCAACATGGCGCACTCAAACTTTGGCATCATGTAGAATGCAATGTGAGCTACAAGTGAGCACAAATTGTCTGAATTTTGAACACGAAATAGAAAAGTTTCAGGCATTTTTCGAAAACTAGTAAAATTTGAGAATTTTTGAGGTTTCAAGCTAAAATGAAGCCTTTGTCAGCCTAGACCATGCGCAGTAATCCGGATTCGTCTACAAATTATTGCAAGAATTTGACTCCTTTGGCCTAGCAAGAAAGAAACAAAATTTATGGGCATATCGAGATTTGGCGTCCTCATAAAGTCGAACGAGTCGATATACACAAGAGCTGCTGGGGACGACCGTCAATGACTAAAGAGTCCGAAGCTCAAATTCCGCCGAGACTTCACATAGTAAGGTTATTTGACCTGCCGAATGCGAATATCATATTCATTTCTTGAATCAACGCCTTTTTCCTTGTTTAGGGTGAGAGCCCATATCGTACACCTACAGTAATCTTACAAAAAAGCCCTTATCACGGAATTTCACTATCGTTTTCGTGATCAGCATGTCGGATAACACCCCTGTGCCAGGTTTCAGCCAAATTTGGCAAACTTTGAATTTTTACCCTTCATACCATACACCTACCGTAACCCTCACTGCGACGTCAGAATTCGGTAGGACAGCAGCTGCACTTGTAGTATACATAATAACCAACACAGTGGCAAAATTTGAGTGTACCATGTTGAGTGAGAGGGAAGTTATGAGAAAAGTTGCAAAACTTAGTGTTCAACCTAATATTAGTTATATAGAACCATAAGCCATTAAATAAATGTGGTTCACCTAATAAATGTGGTTGGTGAGTCCATGTGAATATGAATGATTGCTGTTCACTCCCCTATACTCGCTGTTTTTCAAAGCAATTTCCATTTCATTACATCAAATTTTCTTGTCAGATTCAGGTACATGAAAGACGAATATAATATTCTCAAAACGTGCAAAATTTCCGGGAATATCGCGAAGTTCCAGGAATTTCGCTGGAATCCGCGACATTCACCAGAAATTTGCACGTTATGTGAGCGGTAATGTAGGTAGCAATACTTTCGAAATGTGAAGAATCAATGTGATATCCTAAGTTAATCCGCGAGTTGAATATCATGTTCGAGATTCATGATCAAAGCTGGTAACTTGGCCTTCCTTGATGCAAAAGTTATCAAGCATCAAATTGAAGTGCGCTGGGCGTGGATTTTGTTGAGGTGGTTGCACAGTTATTTCAACTAGATGCATTGCTTTGAACACTAAAGCAATTCACGCCAGTAATTTGGTGGTTTTTCTACTATTTTATATAATTCTAGCGTGACTGCATTGCGAAATTCGACTCAAATTCCCAAATTCATTTTCGTAATACGCATGCAGCTTTCTAAATACTAATAATAGTACAATGCAGCTCTTTGGTGATTTCTTTGGTCATATGTCTGGCTACCGATGGCAAAGTTGCCATGATTTTGGAAAGCATTTGAAAATAAGGTTTTGTAATAGTCAGCAAAATTTGGTGTACTAGGCAAAAAGTAAATCTAACATTACGCAAAAATAATCCCGACAGTGTGCTACATTTACTAGTTAGTGATTATTAGAAGAAAGGCTAGTTGAGCCTCTTGCACTGAGTAACCCTTTGACAACTCCCAACCATTGAACAATCCAAGCACTGATTTAACATTTTCCATTTAGCATTCTTTCAAAAATTTTCCAGGGTATACGAGCTATGTTGATCGATCTAAACATTTTCATCAAGATTCCTAAGCATTCTCTGTTTCAAAGAAGAGGCCTGTCTTTTTCCATAAGTTTACTGAAGAAAACCACAAAACTGTAAAATGTTTGACAAAGGATAATTGGCGAACATTTATTACCCACATATAAATTAAAAAGAATAAAACACACAACTGAGACAAAACTGTGTAGATCAGGTATTATTATCAATGAAATTTCCCTGCTCATCAAACCTTTGATCGTAGCTACAGATACAAAGTAAAAAAAATCTATTATTGGTAGCGGAACACCTGCATGCGATAATTAAGTCAATATAAAGCGCGTTTGCCCACTCGTGGTAAGTAAAACCTTGAAGAGAATCTGTGTAAAGTGTCTAGAAATCTGTAACAAATCACAATAAGAACTCTGTAAGCTCGACTCGACACGGGACAACAGAACTAGGCCATCAATGGAAGTGTTTTTGGTAAGTATACAGGTAACACAGAAAGGTTAAGAGAGTCACAAACTGTGAGGTGAGCTCCGTGGCTCACCCCTTACACATACATATAATATGGAAGTGTCCCGTGAAAATGCAATTAAATACAACTAGAATCACGATCAATCAAGGATAAAGTAACAGTAGACCCGTATGTAGCTAGTTACAATTGAGATTCACATAGAATTCTGGCGCAAGTGGTGGTGGCTCCACTAGTTGCGGTCGTAGACCGTCGTAACGGAAGCATGGTGCTTCCGACGATTTTTGTCAGTGGAGGATGCGGGGGTGACTGAAAAAATAGACATTAGGTACTCTAAAAAATTAGGAGTCCAAAGAAATCCAGAAAATAAACTTACAAGTTGGAGTTGAGGGTGGATGCTCCCCGACTCGACCAATAGCTCGATGGCTGGTTGTGGAAGCCTGGCGCATACTTGTTTGGGAGTTTGCGAATCGACCGCCAACAGGCCGACGGGGATGAGAAGTCGAGTTGGACTAAAAAAATTCAGCATAAGGTCTTATACGAAGTTTAGAACCCTGATGCAGTATAGCAACACTTACCGGAGCCGGTAGGCTTGGCGTTCGGTTGAGTTCACCCTCGATAAATCGAACTACTTTGAGCATGCAAGCGTCTTGGTAGTCATGGACCCATCTAAATTGAAACCAATTATCACTGGGATTTTTTTTTATAAAGTCACATCCTTTATGGACTTTCTCTGCACAAAATTTTGCACAAGAAGTGGAAGAACTCACTTGACTCCATTATACTTCGTAATCATTCGAATGTCTTGAGGAATTGCTTCTTCATTCTGAGGGAACTCGAATGCTTGGTCGAAGATGGGAATGATGTTCTTCTGATATTCGAACGCACATTTCAACTGAAAAAAATAGATTTGTAGGTTTGATTCCATTATTTCCTACATTCTATCGATCTGGAGCTTCACACCAACCTCTTTGTGGATCCAATCATCCCCATTGTGGTCATTAAGCAACCGATCCAAGGAGTTGGGAGTTAGCACAAGGATGAAGTGCTTGGCTGCTTGGATGTTTTTCAACAGCGACGAGTCGAATTTACCAGCGTAGAGCTTGTCCACATCGATGAAAACCTTAGAAAAAATAGTGCACATTAGGATTGGAGATACCTTCCTGAAAATGGGTAACTCACTTTATAGCCCTTTAACTGAAGTAGGACTTTGATTAGACTGGCCAGTTGGTTACCAGTGCTTCTTCGGTAGCTAATGAACACATCGATTTGTTTGCTTAGGACAGCAACTTCGACTTCATCAGGGTGCTTTGCATCTGTAAAAATAGAGATATATTTGGGGCCACAAAAGGTGACTAAAATAATTTGTCAAAAAAAATTTGGGAGTCTCCAGTTCTTCAATACCCTTAGTAATGAGACTTGTAATTTTCAAGTAGTAAAGTCACAAAAAAGGCATTTCCCATTTTCACAAATGGAACCTATTGTTCTGCCAAGATCCCGAAATACTCACATTCGCTCTCATAAACGACCCCCAAACGGGGAAGTATCAACAAAACCCGAAGACCTGTAATGCGAGCGATAAGCGACTAATATTTTAATCTAAAGCTAAGCATTTGCGGGCATCTTCCGGGGAGATTTCATAATCCATGTGAATTCTTCTTATCAGTCGAGAAGTACAAACAAAGACGTTGCGAAAGTTTTCTCCGCTCTCCCGGGCGATACCCGCGTGAGCTGCAGCTGTCCCCGTAACCCACGTGCTTTCGCCTAGTCTCAACTGTTTTCCGAGCTTCCCATTTGTTGTGATTTTTTGATTGAGCAACCAGTAAGAGGTTTATTTCCATTTAAGGGAAGAAATTCTGACTTTGGAATGCTTGCGTCATCTTCAGTCGATGGATTGGATTGGTGATTCCGCATGCGGTTTGCATCAACTCATCCGTGAGGGAACCCAGCAAGGATCGGTTGATTCCGCAGGACAGCATCTGCAAATGAAAGGGTTTTTATTAAAGTCTTTGAATTATAGGGGGGGGGGGAGAGAGAAGGCCTAAACGTACTTTATAGGTGTATACAGACAATTCCGGGCTAAGAGACATGAGCAGTTGGTCGAGATTGCTCTCATCAACAGCAGAGTAGTCAGCAGCAATCTAGAAACAGATTTATTCAGACACTGTAAGATGAGTATTCGCTAAGGGACCTACCTTGAGACTTTCTAACTCCCTGATAAATCGCTTCCGATGCAAACCAGAAGACATGCCGATGTCTCTTTCGAGTTCTTTTTCGCTCAAATGTAGCAAGATATCACCATCGACCATTTGCTTCGCAAAGCTTTCCACATAGTCTTCGAAGCCAATCTAAAAGCGAAAAATTGAGTTTTCTGATTGTCAGTTTATTTTGGGGGAAGGGGACATGGGCTGTGGTTCAATCTTTTTCGCTCTTATGCCTAATCATGTGCGCCTAGGCCAGAAGTGTCATCTTTAATGAGGACAAAAAATTTGACACGGAACGATGTTTCACACTACAACCTTCCCTTCTTGGCGGGAACATCCACCATTTAACTCAGCATTCTTAACAAGGAAAGCGGAAAAACAAAAATTGAAAATTTGAACTATAGCCAAGGAGACTGAAAAAAAAGTTACTGTACTTAGAATGTGAATGCGACTATCTTGGTCTTTTGATTTATGGACTTTTACGGGCATGTAACGGTTACACTTATGGCAAATACGAAGAGAATCGGAGCGGATCAAATGGTCAAGAGATCAAACCACCAAAACATCAAATCATGTAGTAATCCAGCAGTTACAAGGTTATTTATAGATGAGGCAAAAATTACCTGTTTGCTTTGTTGAAAAAAAAGAGTCAAAAAAACTGTGAGTGAGCATACGAAAAATTCCGTGACCTCAAAGAGACTCGAGTTTTTTGGAAGGTCGCCAAAATGACATAGTCTAGATTCAGAAAAGAGAAGATACAGGGCCGTAAAATTTAGGATCAAGAACGCATTTTGTGAAAAGAAAAAACCAACCTTTTTCACCCAGTATTGCACATCCTTCACTGTCCAATTGGGTACTTGTTGAGCAAGTTTGTAAGGAACCTAAAAAGCGGTAAACTCGTCCGATCGCTCCAGCACTTTGCAAAATTCAAATTTACCTCCTCGCCAATAACAGTTAGAGCTTCGGAAGCAAACTTGGCAGCTACTTCATCGGGCGAAGAGGCGACTTCTTTCAGTGCTTGGATTGCACCGATTTCCTGGAAAGAATTGTTATCAGAAATTTATTTTAATCCAGTTTTTGCGCTGTCAGGGTAAGCAATCATGATTTTTGCCCCATTAACCACAATCAATGTTCACCAAGTGTTTCAAGGGGATGTTTATACGTATCCAATGCTTTGTTCCGCTAAACACACACATGTCCCATCGCTTTAGACAAAAATCAGTGTATCAAATAGCTGAACACAGGTCACACACCGATGTTCAGCAGACACTAGACACAAATAATGCTCGGTGCAAAATTTATGCACTTTTTGTTTGGTCATCCTTTTGGAAGAGGCTCTTAGTGCTATTGCAAAGCATATTGCATTTTGTACTTGACTGGTAAATATGTACTGGGCAAAATGTCTGATTCACTGGGGATAAAAAATTATGTGATAACATTGGTGATTCAACGCGCAAATAAACTCTTTAAGGAATTTCTTTTCTTGAAAAGGAGCTATCAAAATTTGCAAGCAATTCATGGAATGTAATGAGTTTTTTCCATTTATCAAAATAATGACTCAGCATTTCATAACAACTAAATTATTGCATCCTCATTTGTGCTTAAAAAGTTCGCATGATCGTCCAGACAGCCCGTCATAAAAAAATAAACATTGCTGGTTATTGTGCAACTTTGCGTGTCTCATCACAGCAATGGCGCCAGGAAGGTCTGCGCTTCGTCATCGTTTCCGGAGATTGTGCAGAAAACAGTTGCGCAATCTTAAGGGTCAACGAATTGTCGAAGAATGGGGGACGGGGGAGTATCGGCGAAAATGAAGCGTGACTCAGGTCACGAAGTTCTTGTCTGAACTTTGGGAGGGCGCCAGAAGGCGGGGGAGGAGTGGGAGCGGAGGTGGTGGCATCAAGATGGGAAGGAATTCGTATTTGAGGCGATCTATTCCAAAATTTTTGTGAAATTACCAAATAAAGGAAAAATGAGTTGTAATCATGGATTATACGTAATTTGCGTATCAGGTACTCAGACTGATAAACATTACTTTTTTGGCAAAAAGCCAGAAACCAAGATGGTCAATGATAACGCGCCCGGCGTGATTGTCATCAAACGACCCAGGGATTTGATTTGTTTGCTGAAGTTGTCACAAAAACTTGGAATAAACCCAAAGATCAAGTGCGGCACACACAATCACATGCTCATATTTGACTCTTATACACACACAAAACAGATTGAGATAAACAACTGGGAGCTGATCATCCGCCCGAAAGCTACGGCGCTTCACATGTGTGATCATTGGGCGATTGGACGTGTGCCCGATAGAAAACAGAGCTGTTCAGCTGATGTTCTCATGAAGGGGATTCCCAGTGCTCATAGATCAACCCGAACAAGAAGTACTGTTCGGGTGGACCTGTTTTTGTTTATACACACACTGGAGGGAAGTTATACTAGCGGAAGATAGGATGTAACGGCAGCTGTGAGAGAGATCACTGAACTCTAAAGAGGAAAATATTTTTCTATTCAAAACTTCATATGAATCAAGTTGGAAGAGGACCAAAACTCTGCGCATACTGTCCTTTAAACTTGCGAGACCAACATCTGCAAGAGTTGCAGAGTACAAGGAGCGTATGACTCAGAGAACGTGATACGCACGAATCACAAACAGATAAAGTCCAAAGCACGGCAGAAACCTGTCCTCTGTCCTCGCTACTAAAAATGGGCACCCAGAACTAAAAATACCCTTCCCCGGTGTTCAGTTGGTAATAAAATGCAGATGAGATGCAAAGGGAGGTATAGAGACCAAACAGGGACCACTCACCTTAGCATAAGGGTGGAAGAATCTCCTAGTTTTCGAACGTTTAAATCTCATCATAGCCACGGATTTCTCCTTCGAGGGCCGGCGAATAAGTGCCGTCTTCGGGCCCATTTCCGCGCCAGAAGAAGACGATAGGGCTGACAGTGCCTTCAGCGACGAAGGTCGGGTAAGCTTGGTAAGAGCAGCAGCACATTGCTGGGGTTCAGGCAGGTTGAGTTCGTCCATAGCTTCGACGACTTGGCCTTGTACGGGATCGTGCGGTGGGCTACCACCGTCCATGTCGGCGTGTTTTGCGACAAGTGCGTTACGGCGTCCCGCCCCCTACGAAAAGCGGAGATACTGTTCGGGGGCGGGACTTTGGCGCCTGTCGCCGTGGTCGCCGTGGATTCTGCGTCAACAATGCGACGAACTGACCAGAGACGAAACACAGAAGCGAAACTGATGACTTCAGTTGAGTGATCGCAAAGGTCGACTGTGGCAAGAAGGAACTAGCGCAAAAACTGGAAGAACTCTATCTTAGTCAGCCACGCTTACCTCAAAATGTCTACAGTGTCTTTAAGTGGATGAGCGAGCTCCATCTAGCGAACTGTGACTCAAAATTAATTGCATGCTACTTCCACCAGTTTCCTAAGTTTTTTACCACCGTGACGCAGTCAGAGCTTCAAGAGAGTGCTGCCAATTCATGCTAGAAAGAGGTCTTGCTCACTAATTGCTGCAATTTTGCAAAGTAAACTGAAAAATTCTTACTCTGTGAATCATTACAGGTTACGTCAGATCAAAATAGCACTCATTTTGAGCAGGAATTATGAATTCAATCTCAGCAACGGCGTAACGTTGACGAGTGCAAGCAAAATGCCGAATTACTCCAAAATTTAGTTAACTGCTGGTATTAGGAAGTCGCAAAATGCGAATTTTTTGATATTCACGAGTAAGGACCAAGGATGGGAAGCTGGAAAGGACAAAAACTAGTGGATGATTGTAAAAGTTCGGATGGCACAGGTGCAGAAGTTCCGAGATGACACAATTTTCCGTGCAGTTTTCGAGAGACGTAGTGCAGAAGTTAATCAAAACTCGGGAGTTTCCCTGATACGCCAGAGGGTTAATCTCCGGAATCCGCTGGTTGTCCAAGATGACCTTATGCGTTACCGCGCCTTCCACAACTCCGAATTTTTCTATCGCGATAAGATGTATGGAAAATAATCATTTGTAGAAGCTCCTTTGAACAAGATTTTCTAGAAATTTCCGACAACTTTCTTGCAAAGATTCCCAGCTCACGTGCAGCTTGTCTTCCATCTTGAAATAGCCATCTTGTAAGAACAAGAAGTCCAAACTTTCCCTTAGGCCATCTGAGCTTCCAGGTTTTGTTCTTTCAAGATGGCGCTACACTTTTGTGGAAAGTCGAATGTCAAGACATCCCCAAAAACTTATGACAGGTTCCTTCCCCAGCCGGAGCTATTCCCAGTGTTCTGCAAATTTTTCCGTGGATCGTATGAGGTTTTCCTGGATTCAATAGAGTATGTAGTGCTTTTTTTGATTGTTACACGTGAGATCACAGCATGTGCGATCCACACGAATCGCATTAATTTCTGAGACTCAAAATGTGTAATGTTTTCGGCTTTCGCGCACTTTGTTTATTGCGTTTCTCAGCTAATCATGTCACACGAATATCGAATGAGACAGATAGATAAATAGATAACATCTAATATAGTTCAGATCACTTCCTAGGTAAAAATCAAAAAGATTTTATTCTATGGGTGCAATTTCACTTTGCAATACGTTTTGTACCTGATTAATTCCGAAACATACAGCATACGACGTAAATTCGTTTCGTATGATTTTTTATGCTGAATTTTGAACCAAAGCGTAGAACGATCCACATGAACGGCCTATAGGCCTCCTACTTCCGTTTTTGTTTCCCAAAAGTGATCACATTACTTTAATGTTCTTGTTCAGGGGGGCCAAGCAATTTTACCGTAAAACTCCTCGAGTTTGGTAAACCAGCCTTAAATCATTCCAAACGGCTTCTTGGGTAAAATTCCCCAAGTTTAGGTTGAAACTCCAAAGATCAGACACACCATTTTTCCACCACTGGGATAGGGGATTCCCTGGTAGCGAGAACTAAAACCAAGACACACCTATTACAACGTCTGCTTCCCACCAGTGTGCGGCCACCAAAGGATGGGAAAAGAAGGCAAATTCCGATCTAAGAATAGAAAACGGGTCTGGCACGTGATCATCACCCAGCGCATCTTTAATGGTTAGGGATACGCCGATCATAAATCATCCGACAACAGGTTCAACCACAAACAAGCGAGCGGGCATAACATTCGGGGGCGCGTTATTAGTGATAAGGTAACGCGGTGGTTCCAATGATTACTTAAGCTTTTCGGATCGCACTGACCTTGAAATCGCACCACTGGTGATCATTTAGTGCTCACCTGAAAGACATCGAGCTTATTTTGGTCCTTTTTGATAGCGGCCTCCATGGCGAAGTGGAACGCGGCCATACTCTTCGCTTCACGACGCATCGACTTCAGCATAGGTAGAAGTCTAGAAAATGTGCATCAATTGTTGACGGTGCAAGTCATTCCATATGTTTGGTTTAGCCGTAAGTCGATAATCATAAGTGATATAAACGTTGTTCGAAGTCGAGCCTCAAAGGCAGGGCTAGATTTCGAATGAAATTGAAAATTTGGAAGAGATTAGCGTTCTAGTTTGCTAGCTCTAGTTTTGGGGAGCATTGCATCTTCGAAGCAGTATCCAGCAAGATCTGGAAACCTGGTTTTTTTGCGGAAACTGATGGAAAACCTCAGCCAGTCATTGTTCAAGAGCAGCCCTCTAAATCAGCCCAGGCCCTACCGTACTCGAATTTGCTGACTGGTCTGCAGGGAAGATAGTATGATACGGCTTGATTTGGGATACGATCTCGCTTAAAAGGGGATCACAGTAGTTGCCATTTGCGCAGTGTCTTGTCTAAGGTCTCCAAATCAGTATCAACATGAAAATCTAGGTATCTAGAGTTACCCGAACGCTACCCTTACGAGATCAAATACTGAACAACAAGGAAGCTGTTTTTTCCTCCTTCCAAGCTGCGCAGTAATCGTCTCTACTAATTACATAGGTTCAAGAAGAGCTATTGTATTTGATTGGACTTAATATCGTAATTTATCCTATTATGACTGACAATGTCCAAAGTGTGACATTTTTCGTTCTAGATGATCACCATCACTACTACAATGTATCCTAATCTGCAGCAGTGTTGTCTAAGGTAAAAGTACACTTTGTTTCAAGCACAGGTTAGGAAGATGTACCGAAAAATATTATGTGCTGGTCAATGCTAATAGGAACAATGGGTAAAAGGCGAATGTGCACACTGTAGGAACAAAAGAATGAACAGCAAGCACAAGCGCTTACCGACGTTCTCGCTCTTCCTTCGGTTTTGGAATACGAGAATTAGCTATCATTTCTATTTTAGCTTTCAGTAGCACTTGTGTCACCTCAGAACAAGACTGCAGGCGCTGCCACATTTGGGCAGACCATGACAGAATTTTCGTAGACAACATTCGGTGAGGTTGTCAGGAGGCAATGTTAGCAATAGAGCTGACTCCTCGTCTTCCTCATTTTTATAGAAATTTTCGAAGTAGAAAAAATTTCTCTGAGTCACAAATGGATTCGCCATTACTATGTGTGAATAGTGCTATTCTGGCGATGAAGCAGAACTTTGACGTAGAAAGAATGTCATGGTCAGATCCGTGATTTCCATTGATTCGGCCCTTCGAATTCACGAAAAAGCGCCGTATATCTGGTGATAAATGTGCACATCCGCGTTGAACCGAGTAATACGGAGATTCTACAGACACTTTTTTTCTCATTTTGGTATGTAACAGCATTTGCGTCAGAGCTGTCAAGCTATCAGTGACCAAACATGCGGACTTAAAAATAATAGCGCAGGAGGCGGAGCTTACGGAATCAACGCCAAAGATAAGATTAGACCTTAGTAAAAACTACATGTTTCGGAGAAAGTAGCAAAGTTATGCGATATCTAATAATGCTATGTAATTTTTTTTCTAGCAAATATCGTTCGTCATAATTAGGATTTCAATCAGTGACGCATTAAGATAGAAGATAATGAACGTGTTATGTGATTTCAAGTACTCAAAACTTTCTTATCATAGAGTGCGATGATCGGTAAGATTCTTATTGAATACAACAAAAAATTTCAGATCGTCTCTGGCTTATCGTGGTCTAAGGAGAATGATTTTAACGTGAAGTATTTTTTTCGGATATATAAAGGTCCCGCCAAACGGTTCAATTGACTCAAACTGGGATTTACCTACTCTAAAAATCTTGAGAAAATGCCGATTATACTATTTATAAGAAAATCAGGTAACACAATGTGCAATGCTTTCAATCTAAATGAATTTGGAAATTTCAAAGACCAGCGCTCATTTTGTTTTAAATGCTCCAAATTTACAATAGCTCTTTTTTGAAGGTTGCCTCTCAATAATGTCAGGTGTATTTTAGTACCGGTTCGTATACGGAAATTGCTTTTTCATGAAGCATTGCCATATCTAAATGGCAGTTCATATGATCCACTCATGGTCGTAAATTTCAAGGGTAAACTCTAACCCAAACCGTACTATCTAGTTTTAGAAGTATGACTATTTTCATATGAATAACACACTCGAGTGAGTAACAAAAGCTACCAGTTGCTTTGCAATTTCCGAAATTCTAATCCAATTAAGATGATGGTGAGTTTGGCATTTTACTATAATTTTGAGTTGCATTTCACACCATTACTCAAAGAGCCTGCCATTTTTGATCACTCCAGTTCCACTTCTCTCGGCGATGAGTCTAGTCAATCTTCTACTTTTGCAATTTTTTTGTGGTCAAAATTAGAAAGTGTTGGGACTTGCAGAGAGAGAAATGCTCTTAATCAGCTATTTTAGCAAAAGGAAACCACTTTAGGTAAAGGTGATGGCCAAATGGATAGGCTCGCTAATTCTGGTAATAAGAGAGGAAAGAAAGTTCTTTCACATTTTCACGTTAAAAATAGCATTTTATTAGACCTCACATCTTCGAGTGATGAGGGAGGGTAGAATTCTCAGCCGGCAAAATCTATAATGTAATTTTTTTAATGTAGAATCAAATTTTTATCAACGATTATCTGCTAGGTGACCATATTTTGAAATTTTCTCTACCTTATCGAGTACACTATATGATCCGAGTGTCATCTGTCGTAAAAATTTCGTCGAAAGACAATTCCGAGAAGTTTTTTTTACTGGCTCACGGGGTCGTCTTATCGCAGTTACAGACTAAAAAACTAGGTAGTACCTATCTAAAGCTAAGTATGCGGTGATTTACATCACGAGCTGATAAGAACCATAAAAATGGCTCAAACGACATGAATTGCAAAAAAACATGCATAATCCATAGCTAGAAACGTCAGTGCTATCTTATCTCATAGCTTTGCATCCGATTCGAACTCAAGAAAAAAACGACAATAGACTATTTCTGCTTTCGTCGCGAAGCAGTCTTTGAATTCATGAAAAAAAAATGTTTGGCACTTTGCCAATACCTGCTCAGCCATTCCTTGGGACGACCTTGAGAGTGTTTGTAGTGATCTCCGGCAAAGGTGGTAGCATCGTGCGCTAGAAGAAAAGGTTCCACCAACTTCAGCGTGTCTGATTTCATCACGGCGGATTCGAACTCCTAAAGATGGAAGAAAATTTTTATGAGATGGTCATGCAAAGTTGAAATAGGTCTCTGTTAGCGATAAGAGTGGGGAGCGAGTAAGAAATTTACAAAATATTTGGACAGTATATTCCAAAAATTATAGATCATTGATAATTTTGATCAGACACTGTCGATCGATAAGAACTTCTCTGCGAACGCATTGTTGATGTAATCGCTAGCGAGACAGCAGACAGCGAGACAGCAGTTTTGGGATTTACTCTACAAAAGATGCTGATTCATAGAAAATAGAGATTCATATAAACCTTGCATTACAAAAATTGATAGAGTTTGCGCGGTCGAAACGGAGCAGTCACACTGGAAGCCAGGTTCTAACAAAATATTATATCTGAATTCAGGACTCTACCTACCTAAGGCCATAAACCTTCCATGGGTTATATCTGGCACGAACTTGACTACTTATAAATATGTTCACCATGAAAATGCTTGAAGAACTCCAAATTTAATACGATTTTTGGATCAGCTTAGAAAGCAAATTACTGTTTTCCGAGAAACTCCAGGAAAAGAAGTATCGTGAGCAACTACAGTGAACATTTCAAAAAACATATTAGACAAGCATGATTTTGAAAGGCTTCAAACAATGCATTGTAAAAGAAGCCTTAAAAAGCGCTATCTAAAGGATTCGCATCAATTTTCCGGCATGAGAAGAAATCAAAAACAAAGATTGTTACGGATGCGGACAAGTAAAAAGAAAGAGATAAGTACACAAAGAACTGACATCAGACGCCAGTTTAAACACCAAAAGAAGGGAGCTTAACTCACTTTTATACTCGCCAACATGCAGATAGCTAAGCTAGCATAGTACCGAGTAAGATCGTCATCCTGATTGACAAGGAGGAAGAGCCATTCGGGAAGCTGTAATGATAAATTTGAATTCAGTTTCCACACCCAGTTACTCAAACATATACGAAACTAACCGTCATTCACCGTCTTACCTTCTTTTGTATCAACTTTTTCTTTCCTTCTGAGCAGGTATAGAGGGTAAGATTTGCCAATCCAAGGGCTGCATGTCGGAGGGTGGTTGGTGTGTCCATTGCTCTTTTGCTGGTGATAATGATGTGATCCAACACTCCATATTCAATAAGCCTGTAGAATTGGGGTTGAATTTTCAGACTAATTCCTCACAGGCAGGGTTCAGCAGAGTTGGCGTTTTCACAAGCTGGATCTCTTTTTCTGGGGGAAGCAAAAGGGAAATCGTAAAATCTTCAGGGTGGATTTCCGGATCTGATAGGATAGCAAGCACATTTCTACTCATAGTAGGCCTGAATTTGAGGCTCTAACGTCATTCAACTACTAACAAGTCAATTAACATGTTACAAACACGATTGGTGCATCAACTTGTGTTCACACAATTCCCAACGTGTTAAAACATGATCTATATGCACAAAAAATAAACAATTAGTTTGTTTACAACGACCAAGCAATATTGAGCCATCAATTTTTGGTGCATAGCTTCGCGATGATGAAGAAAATATATGTATGAAAAATTACAAAAAAAATTATATGAATGGAGGAAGTTGTAAGTGTTTTTCTATTTTAGGTACCGCGCAATGTGGGGGCACCCAGAGATGGCGCGAGACCAAACAAAGTCATAAAACCCAATTTCTCATATAAATTCGAAAATTTTTACATAAACCTAATCTTCATTTTGAGCTTTATCTATTAGTACCCACTTAAGCCCGTTTCGACCCCTCTTGCCTTGCTACGGCACTTGACAACATAAACGCCTTCTTTTTCGCCTTCTGTTTCATCCCTAATTTTCTGGTTTTTTTCTTACTTTTATCCACTCTCGCTGCCAGATTAGCTGTACTTAGACAAACATACAAAAGGTCATTCAAATTCAGCAATTCTAAAGGGGACTTCGTTTCCAAGATTTTCAAATGCCACCTCGTGTTGGGCCCTGCTCACAGGCTGGACTCACTTCAGCGATGTGCTTGAACTGTGCTTGAACATGCTTTCCATGATGCTGAGGCTCATCCGCTGTTGCTCGGCGTTTTTGTTCAACTTCATCGCCATTGTCACGATTTTCTTCAACCAGCCCTAAAACAAAAACATTTTTCCTGCAAAAAATTCTAGTGGGAAACTCCCCGACCTTGTTGACTATGTACTCGCGGTTGTTCAATGACATGCACTCTTCCAGCACTCGCCCACAAGCCAGACGAACTAAAAATAAATACAGAGACTATAAAGGGATTATCAGGAGTGCAGGTATGCAAAATACCTGGTTCGCAGGTGGTTGGTCCGATGAACAGCTTGATCAGTGCGTCGAGGTACATCTTTTCGCGAAGGTAATCGCAAAGGGCAAAGGAGAGGTCATGGGACACCTTTGGGATCATCCACGCTTTGGTCATCACTTTGGCAACGATCGTGCATCCCTAGAAATTCGAATTTTTACTCTGGAAATGTTTAGGTAAAAAGCTATTTAGACTTTCGAGGGATTCTTTTTTTTCAATTTTTTGAGCGATTGTCATTTAGCCGGAGCCAGGTCACGAAAGAAGTTGACTCTTATTTGTGAATTGTTGATGGCTACGTATGCAGTAAAATGGCAAACTCCGCCCCTCACAGCCCAGATGAAGGAGGAGTTTGCCTATTTCCAATACTATTTCGCTCATCAGTAGTTATCATAGAAAAGTGCATGAATTGAAGTGTGAATATGTGTTGAATACGCAGATTTGCAAGAATTTTTTGAACGAGGATGCAACTCAAAGAAATTTAGATTTATTGGCTTTATCATGGCATAATAAATATTTGAGAGTCATCCTTTGAGATTTATTCGTGCTAGAATTGAAGCGAATAATTTTGCAGCCTAATGGAGCTAATTTTTTTATTTTACCACTTCAAAGAGTTATTCTGATTGACTTTATTAGTCACATTTACGATTATCAACTGCAATTGCTTGCACATTCACATGATTGTTCTTCCAGAATTCAAATACTGCCAATACATGACTCACTTATAAGGAATGGACACAAAGGCCAGCAAACGCTTGTAACAGATTTGAAAAAAAAGCTTGATTTAGAAAAATATCGCAGAAAATGCGCGTAGCAAGACTCCACTATGGCTCCACTTATGAGTCAAAGACTCTTTTTCTTTGTGTATTTTGGCAAAAAATCGTATTACACTTCGTAATCGCTTGCTAATGAGCCGAATATCTTGTTATCTTATCAGAGATTTTTGATTTAGCGCCTATAAAGCTCCACCGAAAAAAGGCAATAAGGGACAGAATGAGTCATCGCCGAATACCAGCGCTAAAAGAGTGAAGGTGGCAATGGTGCTTTTTGTTCTATTGGAGAGATTAGCGCTTTTAGAGGAGATAAAGCTCAATTTTACCATTTTGAGGTGCATTCATTAGTTGGCGAAAAGAACCAAGTGAGAATGACTAGATCTGTAAGCAGACGTGGAGAAAGACATTCGTCAAGGTTTGGAAAGTGTGAAAAGAAAATGTTTTTTAAGCATCATACAAAATATACAGCACACTCGAATATGTTCAGAATTTTTTTTTTGCATGTTAGGCTGCACCAACAGCCTTATTTTGGCTAGTTCTACGCTCTAAGAAAGGAAATGCTAGAGCATACAAGAGGTGGAAGCATGAAGAAATTTAGATATACAAAAAAGACGAGAGATCATAGCGGCAAAACAGCTATAAAAATTTCATTCAAAAAATTCTAGGCATCAGAGAATGGAAAGAAAGATGAAACTCTACAAAGTTAAAAAACCATTGGTTGGAAGAAAAATCATAGAGAGCATGTGAAATAAGACGACATACACACTTTTTGCATTGGCTATGGTAGATGCAAAGGTGTGCTTCTGCGGTACTCACAACACTTGCGCGTAAAAATTTATAAGCGCAGGTAATTGATACTTGCGCCCAAAGATCAAAGATCCTTGCAGCATAGCAGATCGTGCCAGCATAGCAGATGCGCTGTTTCTTTGGATATACTGAGCTTCATATTTTTCGAATTTTTGAACAGAGTAACACAGTTTTTTGCAAATAATCAAGGAATAATTTTTTAGGACCAACCTCAATGATTTGTTCGTCTGTGGCTTGCATGATATTCTGGAAGGCCTTGTCGATGAAGGACTGATACTTGGATGTCTTCGTCTTCAACGTATGCATCATTAACACCTGCTCGGTATTGGAGTGTTTCGTGATGGGACCGCCATTGACCACGGAGTCTTGCTGAAAAAAAAATTTTTTGAAGGGACAAACTTATTTTCCAAATTCTGTCAACATTTGATTAACTATTTTATGCAATCACTATGCGCCTCATAAAATAAAGGACAACACAAACTGACCACCACCTTTGGTTACTATGGGAACTGTTGGATTACTGTAACCGTTGCAATTTTGCAGCAACAAAGGCAGATCAATAAAATCAATAAAACTTTGCATACACACCCTATCCAACATGGTTTTTCTCCTCAGTGAATGCTCAAGTTGAGCCAGATGAGTGCTAGAATTGGCTCTGAAAGCTCGACGACGAGAGCGGCATCTCATGCTTGCAAGGTGGTGCTGGTAACTCATGCGCTACCGATCGTAACCAGTGATTGTGAGGACAATCCGGCGATGACGCAGTTACAGCGAAATCGGGCAACAAAACGATACGCATGGTCCGGTTTACGACGGAAAACCTCATGTTCGTATCGTACACACCATTCGCGCTAGGATTATCGGCAATCACATGGCCGAAGGGCAAAACGCATGCGGAAGCGCTGTGGTTTGAGGTGAGGCTGATTCGCAAGCAGAAAGATTTTAGCTAGGTAAATATGCAAAAAAATTTTTCTTGCTCTCGAGTTCTTGCAAATTATCATACTCTGACTATTGAAGAAAGGACATGATAAGACGGGTAACTTCCACTAGTAACAGAACTTACAGCATTAATGGAAAATTTTTACAATCAAATCTATTCTTTCTCTCAGTTCTCAAATCTTTTGATGTTTCAAAGAAAATACAGTCAATGTGGTGATTAAAATTTCTCCCTTATTTTAGGTGTAATAACGCACACGTAAGAGTACTATGTAAGCAATGTGACAATTTGAGTGCTTTAATCGGGAGCTGAACATTTTCCAAATCTTATCCGTTGTTTTTGGATCTAAAGTTACCTTCATATAAGTTGGAAATAGAGAGGAATTCGAGAACATTCACAATGATTTTTGCACTTGTATGACATAGCTGAAGTACTCGATGATGTTTTGATAGATTTCGATCTTCACCGTTGCTTAATTTCCAAGAAAATTCATGCTTTTATCGCGGCAAGGGATAGATAATCACAAACGCAACTTTTCTACCAGTTTGTCCGAAAAATCTCGAATTATCTAAATTCACAGAACCCCCTCCATAAACTGAACTCGTAGCGAACTAGGAGTGAACGATTTTGCAAAAAAGGAATAAAAACACGTGATCGGCGTCATAAACAAAAGGGGATTTCAGCCGCCCTTGTAAATATATTGCCCTCTATGCAATTCAGAAATCGTTAACTTATGCCACTAGTAAAGATAGTAGGATTGCCATCTAGGCAAGGCGAACATGATCCAAAAATTAGAGTAAATCTGATTTTTTCCAAGAAATCAAACATAGGTGGTAAACTTCTTAAGATCTTGTGGAAACTTATGCAAGGCAGCTGCAATGCGCTTATCGTATTCTTCTCATTTCCTTTGGTTCAATCAATGATGTGCAGGTAATAAAACAATATTGACATGCATAAAAAGGTAACGACGGCTAGTATTACGAAAACTCACCGTAATCAGGTTGAACCGACGATTTTGTGTGGATTGAGCATCTGTTATCGGTGAGAGATCGTCAATGGCCACCTCCATTTCCGGACCTGCTGGTAGCGCACCTCCGGATGATCCTTCTGACTGCAAAGAAGAAGGGGATACTTTGGTACCAGACGTTAATTTGGTAATTGGTGACTCATTCAAACTTGGGAAATAGCCCATTTAGCTAATCGCTACCTTAAACCGCCTGTATTCGGAGTCTTTTCTGGATGACTGCTCCTCATGTGGGCAAGGAGTCGACAAAGATTGCTGTAATCGGCACTCGGACGTTGTCGCCTGAAAATATTCTTTCTTCGGTAATGTAGAAATTTTTGGGCTTTAAGTGACAGAAACTTTGGAAAGGAGCGACCGATTTGTTACCAAAATGATCTCTGCGTCAAACCTTCCCACTTACTGTGACTCACAAGTCTGGTTGCTTAGTACTACGCTTTGCTGACGCAATCACCGAGACGGTAGAAGATCAGCTTAGGACCAGTTTTGAGGAGGGTAGAACAAATTGAAAATGTGACTACTCCAGTGCATTTCAACAATAAGATTATTATCAAAATTCTATTCCACCCTACTGTTGAATGAAAAATCGAATGTTAAATCGTAGATCATGTTTATAGATGGTTCTGGACAGCACCATAATAAAAATTGAGGAATTCTAGATGTTTGGGAGCAAAAGCAAGGCTTTTGGTTAGCTGTGCGGAAAAGGTTGTTGTAGTTGAGTGAGATTATTATCACCAAAACTGTTTCCTATAACAGCACGTTCCGCAACAAATTATCTCAAAATTTGCAAGCTTATGAATTTACTCAACTGAACTTTTAACAAGCAACTTCGTACTATAATGTTCTATACTTCAGACCCCTTCTCACGCAAGTTATGGTGTGTTTTTACTCCTTTGAATAAACATACATTTTGAAAGTATACGCCCTATATCTATACCACTGCTACCAATGCGTTCTACTCAAATACCCACTAATCCAGCCTCTGATATCATTACCAGCAAACTTTTGTACTTTTTGAAACTTTCTACTTCCTCTTTCTCTCGCATACGAATTACTGTCTTGCGATCGCTGAAAAGGTCTTCCTTGAGGCATAAAAAGACAGGGATGGTACTTAAGAATGCAGACCAAAATAGTTCATTTTAGCAGCCTAGAAGAATGCCAAAAGATTCAGATACGCAAAATTTGCCTCTCTGGAATTGGTGCGCACAGTTTTTTAATAGCACGTGCTAGAGCTGAAAACTATGCTAAATTGTACAAAATGCGCAAGAGGAGATGTAAGCCCATCAAAAAGAATCAAATAGTTCGCTTTAACAATTTGATTTTTCCAAAATTATTTATTCAAAAGTAGACAGGGATAGATCCTCACATATTAACAAAAAACACTTCTTGAAGAAAAAAGGACCATTCAAAATGACTCGTATAATAACAAGATCTCATGTGAACAACTTTTTTGACCTAAGCATGAGTTCCATTCGTCTCTGCTGTTTTTAAAAGAAAGCTGGAGCGTTGACAGTTTTCCACCCTCTTTACACAAACCACAGATTCACCCTTTTGCACTTATTCCCCTTAGTCATCGATGTAGCTCAAGTATAATCGTCTTGTATAATCACCCTTGCAAACGGCGGTCAATATGAGAAAAATGGGGCGAGGTTCGCGGTGACTCAACTGTTTGCTGATCACCACTCAACGTCTACAAATTTTGCGAACACCACCAAAGAACTTGCTATCTTCTCTAGAAAAATGTAGTGATTCAATAAAATTGGATAATGCGTGTGTACGTAGTGCCCTGCTTTCGTAATTGATGTTTAAACGAGTTTCCAGAGTTTCGAGGATTCTCGTTGATTGGACTCACTTTCGTAATACAATCACAAATGAAAATTCTTCATTTTCAGACATACTATTTTGGTAGAAAAACTAAGCTCAACGACGATTTCTACCTACTTTTAAGCATTATGTGTGATGCAAGTTGGTGAATTTGGAAGGGAATGGGCGGGGCTTCAGGGTGGGCGGAGTTTGCCACATTTTCTTGAACGGAACTCCGGCGTATATGGGGGTATGGAAAAACGCTCATTTTCACAGATTTGCCCGATTTGCTCAGAGGGTTATTTGTGCTAAATGTCAAATAAGTTTTGCATTGGAGAAAAGCCTTGAAATTTTTCAAAGACGACTAGGTTGATTGTATTTTTATCAATAACGTTTCTGTATATAGAAGTCATTAGGTTTAAACTGACAGATTCAAGAATAAAAAGTAATTCAAAGGTCGAATGAAAAAGTTCGAAAAGTGCAGTTTTTTGGAGATGTCCAATTAGCACGAAACTAAGGTCAGAAAGAGTAGGCACAGAACCAGTCCAGAAAAAGAAATGAAATTTGTTGGACCTTACGTTGAAAGATTCCTTTTATCAGTTAGCCATTTAAACATTTTATCAATAAGAATAAGCAACACTGAAATCTGTTGATTCCCTCTCTTCAATAAATCAACCCAAATGATGACTTATTAAAAAAAGAAAAGAATTTGGTGCGAGGGTGCCAGTGAAGATATACGTAGACATACGGTAGACATATGGTAAACAAATGTATCAAGACAATTTTAATGAGAAAAATTACAGACCTGTATCTCAACCCGTCTTCCATTCGATTCCAAATCCCCAGGCCGAAGCAAACTATCATCTGGCCGAAGCGTCGTCGGAGTGCCGCCGTTGCTCAGCGACACATCCCCATTGCAAACCGAGGCAGAATTTGTAAACTGTAAAAAATACCATTTCCAGAAAAAGGCTCAGCAAGCAAAGTTTTGCTCCCCACCTGTGCAGCTTGCGAAAATGGTGGAGCACTTTTTGGTGGCGGAGGAGGAAGTGCTATCGCTGGCGTTCGTAGGCTAGGTGAGACCAACGGAGAAGAATCCGATGAACAGAAATCATCATCCAAGTCCAAATCCAGATCATTTGTTCTGAAATGGAAAAGCTCAGGTTGAGAAGTATGTTTGCGCTGGTGTTTGGTCTTCTCAAGTGTCTTGACAAGACTAATCTCTTTATCTTCACATTGAGAAGCTAAATGTCAAATGTTAAAAATCGTACATAGCTGGGAGACCTTTATATTTCTCAGAAGATTCTACAGAATTTTGCGTTTAAGTTAAAAGTCCTGTTCTTTAATTCCCTCTCCTAGTTTCTAGAAAACTTGGCCCTTTTACCTGTTCTAGACTAATCAAGGCATATGCTCACGCAACCGAAAAAGGTAGCAAGCGGATTTCCCAGCAAAGATAGAGCTAACTTTACATATTCTAGTGCAAGATGTAAAGAGGAGTTGCAGCTCCACAGAATTTACATTGAGGAGGATTGAAGTACAAATATATTTACAATTTTTAATATTTTGTTTGCTAAATGGCGCCAAATATTTCTTCTTCCCAGGCGGCACACGAAATCAAGATTGATGTTTACTTATCGGCTTTCAATGCCGTCTTTTTCTTCTTCTCCGCTTAATTATGTTGTTGAAGAGACCAAAAGCTGTCGATTCGAGTTTTGTCTGTGCGTAAACACTCGTAAAGAATTCATCAGTAACTTTTAGAGCAAAAACAAAGTTATAATGGACCTTGAAAAAAATCACCAAACTCCACCGAAACAGACAATATTGATCGATGCTGGTTTATAGCCATTTGTGCTTTTCACTTTCATCGATAGCATAAGTTCATTTCTTATCTGGTAATTTTAATCTCGTGCTTCCCTGGCTCACCTAATTTGTAGTAGAAAACAGATTTTTCGAAACCGCAGAATTCGCATTAGCAATATTCCTCACTTTTTGCACCAATGCGCGATTGCTTCTTCATTCAATAGGGTCGCAGAACAGAATGCTGCCATAGAAGGGCACAATGATTCCGATGAATCAGCAAAACTTGCCAATTTGATTAACGAGCGCGGAAAAAGTGTTGTCAAAGGATGTATGATCTTTTCAAAATTCAAAATATTCTGAGAATTTTTGGTCGATAAACTTGAATGGCTCAAAATATGGATTAGACGGAGAAAATGTTGAAAAAGAGATGTCAAAGAAGAAGGAATGATATAAAAAAGCACTTATATAACCTTCTAGTGAGGTTGGAGCTTTCTTTTGTTGACCACGAATGCGAGAAATGCATGAAAATTTTTATCATTAATCCCAATTGCCGAAACAAAAATAACTTTCATGAAGTATCAAGGTATGTTGACGTTATAAGCATAAAAATCCTTTTATAACAACTGGAAAGTAAAAAAAACAAAGATAAAAAATATAGAAAATATAACCATATACAGACAAACAATAAACAGATAATAAAAAAATGGCAACCAAAGGCAAGGTAGGGGTGACACAATTTTCAAACAATGTGTATTGTTTTCATTTCTAACTGAAATAAAAGATAATAATTTATGATCCAAATTGGCCATCATTACTTCAAAGAGCAGAAAATAATGAAGCAGCACAAATTGCCTTTTCACGGCCATGAGAAAAATTGAGATTGCTCTCTTATACGTCAGATTGTGAACTTACTTGATGACAAGGTTATGGATATTCCTCATCCGTTTTGGGGGATGTGCTATACAACTTTTTAGTGGTTCCAGAATGATTAATGTATTGGGGTAACGGAAGTCTAATCTGAAAAGATTGCAGTGTGTCGACAAGCGGGTAAGAACCGTGAAAAATTGCACACGGGGCGGGGGTACGGCGACAAACGACGACGGGGGATTATCGAAGGGTAGAGGCGGTGACAGCGGAGAGTTGCGAGTACGAGCGGCGGCCTTAAATAACGACCGAACCGAGAGCAAAGAAGCCGAATAGAATTAGTTGTTTATGTAAATGAGCGCCGATACCCCCGGGGATCACGCCCGGATGAGTTGGAGCGAGTGGGAAAGTGAGAGTGGGAGGGTGGAAGCCGTTGAAGTGCGCGTGACCAAGGAATATATATCAGGCATGCCCCCTTCCAGTCTGACACCTAAGCAAACATTGAAGTGACTTACTGCTATCCCCTTTTAACGTCAGCAAAACTCGGGAGCGTGCACTATCCGGATCCCGTGTTTTTTTTTTGCGCGGCAAAAACTGAGAAAATAAACAGGAGTATGTTCCAGAAAGGCGGAGGTGTGGATGAACGATATGAGTAAATCTCTCAGCAAAATATAATGAGATGGTCGTGAGAGATGGGGAAACAACAACACTTAGAGCTGAATGTTCTAAGCTTACAAGCAATCTTGATTGTATTCTCGCAAGAATGGGAAGAAAATTTTATGTTCTTATTTTATTTTTTTCAGAAACGCTGCATTTGCAGAAACAGAAATAGAAACATGATTGCAGGTGCACCCTAATGATCAAAAAAGGAAAAAGAGGGAAAGCAAGATTCATGCAGTTTAGCATTTTAGGAAAACTTTGTGCTGTACTTTACGGTCTCGTTTCTAATTATATAATTTTGCGATATTCTCTTAATTAAAGCGGATGCACTCTGACGATTAGAGAAGAGGAAAATAGATAAAACCACCAAATGTACAGAAAGACCGCAACTTCCTTCAAATTTGAAACTGTTCTTCTAAAAATTTACTGGTAGTCGCCATAGCTTTAGACGCACAAGAAACTATCATCTTCTGTCATGAATTGCGCAAATCGCTAGCAAAAAAAATTCAGAGTCATAAGAACTGGAAAATTTTTGCTGCTTCCACCAAATTTTGGTTTTCATTGTTTTTTTTATTCCTAATTGCAAAATCTCTGCTCCGCTATTTCGAATGCAACGTTTTTTCAATATTGACAATTTTCCTGCAAGCTGTGTTGCTAATGGCTCGAATGTCTAAAGTCTTGAATTTCACCTAGCATGGATCAGAAAAGAAATAAAATCAAGGTTAACGAACAGAAATTTTTGTTGTAGGGGATACTATTGAAATGATTGCGACAGATATTGAGCACCCTAGTAAATATAGAAGAATGCTAAACAAGCTGATTGAATCTCGAAAATGAGAGCAAAAAGACTGAATGAGTATGAGACCTCGCTCTTTACGTGCTATTGACATGCAGCGCCAATACTGTGAATTGCTTCCCTATAAAAGGAAACAAAACTCAGTCGCCCACATAACGCAGAGTAGAAACAATAAATATCACCCGAAAACATATTCCACAAATAAAAAAGCATGAATAATCGCACAGGCAGTTAGTTTTTTGAATGTTTTCAAACAAAAAAGCTTGTCTCATGGGAAATGAATAAAATGGCATTGGCAGCAACACTTCCCGAGGCAATGGTGTTGGCTGGGCAAAAGGGGAGGAGAAGAGGGAGAGGAATTTGGGGGGGGGGGGGAAAGGAGTAAAAGCGAAATGACAAACAACATTATGTATCTAGACGAATTAGGTAAGTAAGGTAAGATAGCATCAAAATTAATGATCATTATCAGCTAAGACGACGAAGATTACTATTAACATCAAAGCGGGGGGGGGGAGGGACGGAAAGAGAGCAAAAATTGAAAACTTTGCCGAACAAAAGAGAACGCAAAAGACGGAGCTTGGAGTTGTGGTTATGTCTGCAAGGGTATGATTATTACTAAGCTCTGGGTCAAGATTTATAACTTAGCGGCAACTAGAATGACAACCGCGTAAGAAGCAACAAAAATTTAGATATGAGCTAAAAATGACATTTTATCATTTGTATGTACTATGGAAAATGCAAAGTTCATTGTTCATCGAACGGAATGTCATTGTTTTTCAGATGTTTTTCCCATCAGGCGAATAAGAAGAGATCAGTCATAGCGATAGGCTTAATCGCATTAGAGCAATAACATCAAGGTAACTTTTTGCTTTGAATGAGTAAGGGTAAGAGATCAGTCAGGTTATGGGGGAAAACTTGCCCAACCACTCGGTATGAGGAGCAAATAAACATATATATCGTTTTTTTCAAGCAGGTGTTCGATTCGAGCACCTTTGCTTTTATTAGTTTGACGCATGAGCATTAAAATTATGAAAAATCAGTTCGAGATATTTAAAGACTTTCCGGTACTTTTCCGTTATCCGGACCCATTTTTTCAAAGAAGGATGTTGCTTTTTTTCTTCTACCATATTTGGTCCCAAATTCACAGGAAGGAGTGCCAACCTTCTGCCACGTGTCAAAAATATTTGACATGTCATCTACATGTTCAAACAGGTTTTACCAAGCTTTTATTCTACACTACCTAACGACGTAAATTCAATCTATATTTAAGTCGGTAAGGGCCCCATTTTCAGATAAAGGAAATAAAGGATTTCAGAAATGAACACTTATACTTATAACGTCATCCTGTTGTCATTGAACAGATCAGATTTGCCTAGAATGGAGAATTGTGCTAGGATTCCATTATCCATGCGGCGAAACAAGCAGCAGTGAGATACCGCAGGCCGTCATTTATAGTCTTTCCTGACTAAATTCACATGGCGGAAAGTTTGAAGAAGAAGACAAGTTCGAGAATCATTGCAGAAAGCAATTGTTCTGCGATAACTTTTACACAGTTTTGCTTTCATAGAAAACATTTGAAGAACTTTTAAGCGGTCACAAACGCATTTTTACCTCACCGGAAATGATTTCGAAAAAACAAGTCAAAATGGACTAAAACGTGTCAAATTTTTCCTGATACGTGGCGGGGAGGTAGTCTTCGTAGGATCTACAAAAAATTATTCTTAGACTAAAGACCGTATGTTTTGAGAGCCTTTTGAAAAAATGGGTCCGGATAACGGAAAAGTACCGACTTTCCATTTCAAATTTAGCTCAAAATCAGAGTAAAACAATTTGAAAACCACGACTTTTCATAGGGTATCTGGTCACACAAACCTAAACGTAAACCTTTCCCAGGTAAAACGAATCATAAAATCAATTCAAAACAAAAACTGGAACTCATTAGCCGCTCCAGCAATTTTAACAACTAAAATTGACAAATAATTTGCGAGTAATTTTGTCAGCTTCTACTGCGATAAGGAGACAAA